GTGGGAAGAAACGTGCCCCATCATTGGTGTCAGTTGGAGGAATAGTGCCCCATCATTGGTGTCAGTGGGAAGAATCATGCCCCATCATTGGTGTCAGTGGGAGGAATAGTGCCCCATCATTAGTGTCAGTGGGGGGAGGAATAGTGCCCCATCATTAGTGTCAGTGGGGGGAGGAATAGTGCCCCATTGTTGGTGTCAGTGGGGGGAGGAATAGTGCCCCACCGTTGGTGTCAGAGTGTGGGGGGGGAATAGTGCCCCGTCATTGGTGTCAGTGGGGGAAGGGGATAGTGTCCCAACAGTGGTGTCAGTGGGAGGAATAGTGTCCCATCATTTGTGTCAGTGGGAGGAATAGTGTCCCATCATTGGTGTCAGTGGGAAGAATAGTGCCCCATCTTTGATGTCAGTGGGAGGAATAGTATGTCATTGGTGTCAGTGGGGGGGAATAGTGCCCCGTCATTGGTGGCAGTGGGGGGGATAGTGTCCCAACATTGGTGTCAGTGAGAGGAATAGTACCCCATCGTTGGTGTCAGTGGGGGGAGGAATAGTGCCCCATCATTGGTGTCAGTGGGAGGATAATGCCCCATCATTAGTATCAGTGACACCAATGATGGGGCACTATTCCTCCCACTGACACCAATGACACTTAATTTGCTGACCCCTGTTCCAGCATGGTGCTGCTGCAGCCAGCATACCTGGTTGCAGCAGCACCATCTGCACGGCACACTTACCTGTCAGCTGTCCTTCTTCACTCTGGCCTCTCCCTCGATGTTCGCGCGGCAGCTCGGCTCCGCCTCCTCGCAGATGATTGGCAGCCTGTGTGCCTTTCCTGAGCTACAGTTCTGGCGCCCAATCACCGGTGAGGAGGCGGACCCGAGCGGCAGCGCAAACATCAAGTGAGGGAGTGGCTGGAGTGAATGAAGGAGTAGCGCTTCCTGGACTGGATCGTCGTGGGACTGGGACACGGAGCTAGGTAAGATACAGCAGCCCCCTGCCCGCCCCTGTACTTAGTGTCCCTTCCTCGCAGCAAATACGCCCCTGCCGGCAGGCCGGATAAATGTCCTCGGTGGGCCGCGGGCCGTAGTTTGAGGACCCCTGGGTTAGAGTCAATGATGTTTTTATTGCGGTCTGTGTACCTATTGGGGAAATTCACCCCTCTGTTTGTACTGATGACCATTGTCACTGAGACAAAGCCAAGGGAAAAACAGAAATCACCAGAGGAAGAAGAGAAATATCTCCAAAGGAGGAATTCCCCTCCATTTGGGAGATTCGCCTTATCTTCCTGTTGTGTCTCCAAGAGAGGCAGGGAAGCAAAATCTCTGTAAGGCTCCATGTACATGGGACGTTTGGAAAACACTTCTGAATTATGGAAACTGACTGCTGGAAAATGTAGGTTAAAAAACATCTGTTTAGCCACATTTTCATACCGCGTTTATGAGTGTTTGCGTTTAGAAGCATTTTTTAAAGATAACCTCAGGAGACCTTCAAAATGCCCAGAATGCAGTGAAAAACAGTAAAAAATTAACTATTTCAGACTTTTTGAGAGAAAGAGAGAGAGCAGAAGCAGAGAGAGCAGTATTTGTTGAGATTAGCTTTCTTTTTTTTTTGTGGTGTTTGGATGTGTCACAGATCATTTCTGTGCAGAAATTATTGCAGCAGTGTCTAACATATTTTCTTTCATGCGAAACCTCAAAGTATGGTGTAACAGGTCCATTTGAGTCCCGGGAAAATGCTTTGCATGCATTCTTCATGATGAAAAAAGGCTCTGGACAGCATCTGCAAATGGAAGAGTTAAAAAGATTTTCCAAAAGAAAACGCTTATAAACGCGGTTAGCCGCGTTTACAAGCGTTTGAAACGCTGATAAAATCTACTCCTGAACGCAAGTTTGTTGTGTTCAAAATAACGATTGTAAACTCAACTGCCTGCAAATGTCTGTGAACGATATATTGTACATGGACACATAGAAAAACATTAGGGAGAGTTCAGGGGCTGCTGAAAAAAACGCAGAAAAGCTCCTAAACGTGTTTATCAGTTGCAGTGTACATGGAGCCTAAAGATACACAGACAACAAGAAATACTCTATACAAAACTAAATTAATGAAAACAAATTTGGCTATACATACACTTTAATATTTGCTTAAAATAAGGTCAAGACAAATTATATGTAGAATTCAGTTAAATACCAGCCATCCAGCTTTTCTTTTACCCACTGGATGGCTGCCAATTCCAGTTACTGACACTAACATGTCAGAGTGAGACAGCAGCAAACTATTACAGCGCTATGAGCTATAAATATTTCCTCCTAATATTATATGTTAGGGTATCCCTTATTCAATACTGCGCTAATCTCTCAAGTAAAACTAAAAAATAAATAAATACGCAATTTTAACACTATGAGGCATATTTATAAGGCATTAAATCTAACATTCTGCAAGCATTTTCAGAAAGGAGCAAAAGGTGAATCTTACAAGTCCATGTGTTTTAAATGACAGCGATTGCTTCCCTACTGCTTCATAAATTTTTAAGATTGTCCTTATGACTTTAATTCTGAATCCTTTAAGTCCAACTTATTTTAAGATTGTCCTTATGACTTTAATTCTGAATCCTTTATGTCCAACTTAGGCCAAAAGCTTTTTTTAGCTTTGCACTTTAAACAGAATGTAAAAGGGTTAAAAACGCTGTTAGATTTTTATTACTGGGTCTTTTCTGTAATTTTGCTTTCTTGCCCAGATATCATAGAAAGAGGAAATCTTCACAATGGTGATAAAGACAGTAATAAAATCTATCAAACATTTAGTTGCATGCCGTTTTGTTATAGAGAACAAAAAGATTAAAGCCCTAATTAACTTTTAGTTTTAGCTAAATACATTCCAGGTGCATCAAAACAAAAGATAATCGATGGCTTACAATTCGTTTCCTTTCTATAGCAGCTATGGCATGAGTAGAAAAGCCTGCCCCTGCCCACAGACTGAATAGTGAGATTCTTGTTCTCTGTGGGGAAGCAGTAAACGCTCTGCAAGGGTCTGTCACCCCCCCTGAGGACAAGTAATACAGTGTCCCTACACCCGCGCAACAAATACAAACAAATACCTGAAAAATAATTGAAGAAATGATATATAAAAGAAAAAAGAGATGCTCATCAACAGATTTTAGTCCAAAGATGTATACTCCAAAAATTCCAAAGGGTATCAGCCCTGGGGATCCTGACCGCACTCTCATAAACTCTTACTTCAATAAAAAATATGTGTCATCAAATACAACAAATAACCAAACAATAAATAAATATAAAATTATGTGTATAAATAAATTGTCCATGTGACACAATGCAATACAATCAATGTGATAAAAACATTTAAATTCCTCAGTGATGTAATGACGGCAAACCAACTTGTAATTTAAAGGCGGCTGTGTGTTTTATCCTAATGTAGGTGCAATTGTATTTGTTTTTTCCATTAAACTAACTATACTACACACCAGGAGAGGCTTCCCATCTCTCTTTGTATGTAATATCCTATCCAGCAGAGGTAGTGAGCAAGTCAACAGTAAATTTAAACATGCTTGGGACAAACAAAAATAAACAAAAAACATGTATTAAAAAAAAAAAAATGGGCAGAATCGATGGTCCACTTCGTCTTTTCTCTGCTGTCATTTTTCTATGTTTCTATGTAATATCTGGTATGCCATTAAGTTTTTTAAAGGCACAGGGATGCTAAAACATGCATTATCTGCATAATTATCCACATGTACAAGATAAATGAAGTGTTGGATCAGAGTTCGATTTATGGAAAGTTGTCAGTTGGTGAATTAAAGCCAATTTTGACTTCCTTTTTAATTAAACGGGTCAACAGCTTCAGGTGAGTGCAGTGTGCATATGGCTGGTATTTTGGACTGTTAACATCCCTGCGCAATTAAAAATGTATCACATTGGTTGTATTGCAATGTGTCGCAGAGACAATTTATTTACTGTATACATATAATTTTATATATTTATTTTGTTTGGTTATTTGACGTATTTTATAACATTGTGTTTTGGAGTTGGAGTTTATGAGAGCATGGTCAGGATCCCTAGGGCTGATACGCTTTGGGATTTTTTGAGTACACACCCCCTGAGGATTCAGGGCTAGAGCTCTCCAATCAGCGGGGACTGCAGAGCAATAGGTCTTGATCGTAAGGAGGTGAATCTGAGCTTTGCAGAGAAACTGCTGCTACTCCACAGAAAGCAAAATTCCTACCCTGCAGTGGCTGGTAGAGGACAAGCTAATCTACTCAGGCTGCAGTTGATTTAGAGAGTAAACAAACTTTAAAGCACTGAATACCTTTGGTTTTAATGCACTTTGGATGCGTTTAATGGTTTCAAATTGAGAATTCAATTGAGCATTAGGCTCTATATGAAGTAAAATATGGCAGATAGAGTATGAGTGGCTATCCATAGCAATTGGGGTTACATAGCAGATTAATGGCATGGTGTATGTGGTCTGTTTTTTATTAGAAGACACTTGATACACAGGGCTTAGACAAGCTGTGAATGCCGGAACCCACAGCTAGCCCAAAGAAAGTAAGGAACCTGAAGTGAAGCATCCCTACTGTGTATGGCATTTAAAACACGATAAGTTTGCACCCAGCTGAGCTTTAACAATGTTTCAGGCATTTTTAAATGAAATTTCATTGACTTACGCTGCTTGATTGCACTATATTTCTCTACATTAAAATTCCATAGAACATTCAAGGAAAGTGTAAAACTCTGTATTTTGTTTTCCATGCCACAACAGGATCAACCATGTTGTGGCGATAAAACCTTTGAGAACCTGCCTATAAATGTTTAACTCATTATCAGTACAGCTGCATTAATCAAGTAGCAAAATATGACCAACACAAAAGACACAATAAAAGTTGATATTTAGCTCTCATTACTTCCATTGTACAGCCCAGCTGGCTAACATATTTATTTACTTAAGCCAGTAATTATACCATTCACTAGAACAAATAAAGCAGCCCTGATAACAGCAGGTATAATATGACAAGTACATACAAGAGAAATACTCATCTGGTACTCGAGTGGGTCTCAAACGTGCTGCTGGCCCATATACCACAACATAATCTTCAGAGGTAGTCAAGTATGATGACAGATATGCTATATTTTCACAGCGCGATTCCTCCATGCCTGAAATCGATTCCGCCAAACATAATTAACCAGAACATGAAGTAAAACAAAAAAAGATGACTTACATAAAAGCACTCTTAAGTAGAACTAAGACATACAGTAAACTGCACTTTGCATTTTTAATGCCATTAGCCAGAGTTTGAGGGAATTAAGAGCCTTTGAATTATTTCAAATACCGGGAAAAGGTTAGGGCACTACTATAAAATGGGTAGAAATGCCAAAAAAAATATATAGCCACACATCATATGCAAAAAAGTCTGATTGCATAGATTAAATGTATGGGTTTTTCTACTTTTGCTTTTCACTGGTATAACTTTTATTTTCTACTTGACAGATAGCTGGCATATACAAGAATACTGTACATGTAAGAACAGTTTAAAGTGCAAGTGTTAGTTTTATTATTTTCTATATTTGTACCTTTAGCAGTCATCTTTGGGTCCATGCACATTAGTGGCAGAAAACAATGTCAGAACATCTGTCAGCATGCTAACAACCAAGTACACTGCTCAAAAAAAATGAAAGGAACACTTTGAAAACGCATCAGATCTCAATGGGGAAAAATATCATGCTGCATATATATACTGATATGGACTGGGTAATGTGTTAGGAGCGTAAGGATGCCCTATCGTTTGATGGAAATGAAAATTATCAACCTACAGAAAACTGAATTGAAAGACACCCCAAGAATCAAAGTGAAAAAATTATGTAGCAGGCTAGTCCATTTTGCTGAAATTTAATTGCAGCAACTCAAAATGGTACTCATTAGTTTGTATGGCCCCCACATGCTTGTATGCATGCCTGACAATGTTGGGGCATGCTCCTAATGAGACGATGTTAGTGTCCTGGGGTATTTCCTCCCAGATCTGGACCAGGACATCGCTGAGCTCCTGGACAGTCTAAGGTGCAACCTGGTGATGTCGGATGGACCGAAACATGATATCCTAGAGGTGTTCTATTGGATTTAGGTCAGACAAGCGTGGGGGCCATTCAATGGTATCAATTCCTTTTACTCTCCAGGAACTGCCTGCATACTCTCGACATGAGGCCGGGCATTGTCATGCACCAGGAGGAACCAAGGACGCAGTGCACCAATGTAGGGTCTGACAATGGGTCCAAGGATTTCATCCCGATTCCTAATGGCAGTCGGGGGGTACCATTGTCCAGCCTGCAGAGGTCTCTGTGTCCCTCTATGGATATGTCTCCCCAGACCATCACTGACCCACCACCAAAAACGGTCAAGCTGAATGATGGTTACAGGCAGCATAATGTTCTCCATGGCTTCTCCAGACCCTTTCATGTTTGTCACATGTGCTCAGGGTGAACCTGCTGCCATCTGTGAAAAGCACAGGGCGCCAGTGGTGGACATACCAATTCTGGTGTCTAATGGTGAGTGCCAATTGAGCTCTATTGTGCTGGGCAGTGAGCACAGGGCCCACAAGAGGATGTAGGGCCCTCAGGCCATCATCATGAAGTCTGTTTCTGATTGTTTGGTCAGAGACATTCACACCAGTGGCCTGCTGGAGGTCATTTTGTCAGGCTCTGGCAGTGCTCACCAACAAAGAAATTTGTGAAAAGAGATTCACAAGAAAGCGGCTACATTATGGACAGAATGCGATACTCGGAAAAATTTCCAAAAAATTATGCTTTATTAAACATTAATGATTGACAATAGGGCAATCACCCTGGTTTACCATCACCTCAGTATGAGACAATACACACAGACCTAAAACCATTTAAAATCACACCAAGACCGGTTTGGATATATATGTGCTGCAGAGGCACCTGACGAAGCTGAGTGAGCTACGCCCATCGGCGAAACGCGTTGACGTCATACGTTAGATACGTCACTTCCGGTCATGCGCATTGGCGTTATACATGCTGACCTACAAGGAGGCGGCCATTTTCACATGCCATGAGTCATGCAAAGCTGTACAGGCGCCATGGAGAGAATGGAACCCGCGAGATGTCGGCTGATGTAAGCGGTTGTTCCCTGGATCAACACGGCAGTACATGTGAAGGACATTTCCATTATTTACTACCCATGGCACAGGTGGTGAGTGGATTGTTACAAGAATAACGAAGAAGGCTTCTTGTTACCTATTATATACATCAGAGTGAAAGTACCCAGATTGACTGTCCTTATATTATTTGTCTTATTTCAGGATGGGGACATTATGCATTACCTAGATGCAAGGCATACAGCATATATTGCAACAAATGGAAGACCCATTGGGCCTCATTCTATCATGTATATTAAAGTGGTTTATAGTCCACATGCTGTGGTGAAGAAACCATATAAAGCAGGGCTCTGCTATCTACATCTATTATTCCATCAAGACATCAACAGGGATTCTTTCATCTATAAGAATTTTTGCAACTATTTGTAGATGGGCCCCAACCACATGTGCCTCTATTAGGTTGTACTGCATGAATCTATATTCATATTATTGGGGTATATCCCCCCTTCTTATGCAATTTTTTACCCATATTGCCTTGAATAGGCTAAGGGTTATGTTTCTCTCTACATGGCAACTGTATTAGCTATTATGCATAGCATGTGATAATTACATTATATATACCTTGGTACAATTTTTTGAAAAACCTCCTTCAGGGAGTGTAACCAATGTGCGGTGCTGCAAATGCTCTAGACAAAGTTTGTCACTGCCTCTGCAGCACATATATATCCAGACCGGTCTTGGTGTGATTTTAAATGGTTTTAGGTCTGTGTGTATTGTCTCATACTGAGGTGATGGTAAACCAGGGTGATTGCCCTATTGTCAATCATTAATGTTTAATAAAGCATAATTTTTTGGAAATTTTTCCGAGTATCGCATTCTGTCCATAATGTAGCCGCTTTCTTGTGAATCTCTTTTCACAAATTTCTTTGTTGGTCTGCATATTTTTTGGCTACTGGATGGAAGCCATATATTGGGTGATACAGTAATATATATTTGAACCTCTAAACTTTATTCTTTATTATCTGGCAGTGCTCAGCCTGTTCCTCCTTGCACAAAGGAGAAGATACTGGTCCTGCTGATGTGTTAAGGACCTTCTATGGCCCTGTCCAGCTCTCCTAGAGTAACTGCCTGTCTCCTAGAATCTCCTCCATACTCTTGGGACTGTGCTGGGAGACACAGCAAACCTTCCGGCATTGGCACGTATTCATGTGCTAGCCTGGAGGAGTTGGGCTGCCTGTGCAAACTCTGTAGGGTCCAGGTATCACCTCATGTTACCAGTAGTGACACTGACCCTAGCCAAATGCAAAACTAGTAACAGTCAGAAAAGATGAGTAGGTGAAAAAATTTCAGTGGCCTCCACCTGTAAAATCATTCCTGTTTTGAGAGTTGTCTCATTGTTGCCCGTCTATTGGACTTGCTATTAATTACATTAACACCAAAGCAGCTTAAACTGATGAACAACCACCTCTGCTACTTAAATGACCAGATCAATATCCTAGGAGTTTAATTGACTTGATGTTATACTTTGATTAAAAAGTGTTCCTTTAATTTTTTTGAGCAGTGTATATTGAGAGGAGAATCTCTACCTATGCAAGGAAGCTGATTGCTGGATTAGGATCCCTAATTCCATATACTTGGTTGTACCTATTAGTCACTACCATTCACATAAATGTCCACACATTTTTCCATTGAATGAAAAATACTACACTACCTCTTCCAACACTTGCTTGCTAAGATAGTATAATGGGTGTGAGGGTTCGGAATTTACATTAAGGTTCTGAGATTTGAAATGCGGAAAATTTCTGAAGAGGTTGGGATTGTGATTTAAAGGGCAGATCACCACATATGGGAACCTATCCACCTTGTGTTTGAGTATCTTACGAACAAACATCTGCTGCTGTATTAGAAGGAGAGATACCAAGTAGGAGCCCCAAATAAGGGGAAAAGCATTTAAGACCTGAAAATATACTGGTCCAATTTTGGAGGTGAGCACAGTGGTGAATGGTGGTGGGTATCACCACACATGTTTTTGCGGAGGATCACAAGAGGTGGAATGCAGTGCAATATACCCTTTCACATAAGCATAGCTGCTGTCGAAAGAACCAAGGAGGAACCAGTTTACATTCTCAGACCATAGCCTTGCCAAACTGTAATGCGGCTCTGGTAAACAGATTAAATGCTCTGTACATAGGCAAATCCCATTTCCACTGAGCTTTACTGCATCCACAAAGGACCTTGTGCCTAACCAATCATATTCTGATTTAAATGAGGAACAAAGATAGAAGATTGAATAGAGAGAAGCAGGGCAAGCTAACAGAACAACATGGACTTCAGTGCTACTCCTGTGAAATTTGAGGATGAATTGCTTCACAGTACCTGCAGCTACAGATGTCAATGACGTATTGTTTATAACGCATTTAATGCTTGCTAGAAATGTGTTCTGTAGAGACTTTATTATCTATATCCTGGAGACAGATTTACTTTTAACAGAAGCTTAAGCCAATCAAGGTATGCACCAAGGCTCATTAAGGGAGAGTAAGCTTGGTTATGCTTCTTAGTGTCCACAACTTGCCACTTAAGGTGGAACTACACTGTATCTGAGCACCAAAAATTAAAAGCATCTAATTAATTTTAATATTCAAAGCAAACTCCCCCATCCATCCATCCATGTATCCTTGCTTTAATTTGCTGAGAAGTCACTTTGAAGAACAACCCCCTAGCATTTCTGTCCGTGGCCATCTTAAGTAAGGGCAGATGATACATATAGCAAATTACTTCCTGGAATCCATCTGCCCTTACAGACACACATACAGGCAAGAGGGTTTGCTTAGCTGAAAAAGCCCTCCTCCCCTCTTCCTCTCCTGAAGACTCCTGGGATGTATGACATAATTTGCCTAGGCATGGAAACTAGGAAGTAACTTAAGAAATATAAAACAAAACTGTTTAAAACAAGTAAATAAAATATACTTTCCTATCTATTTACTAAAGCTGCATAAGGATTAAAAATAGTCAATGTTGATTGACAGAGTGAAGTTCCACTTTAATTATAATTAATATAATTACATAGCTATTATATCATTTTACTGGTTGTACAAGCATTGGAAACAAAGTGGGGTTCCTGGAATGTAGAAGGCCCAAGAGTTTTAGGGAGAGAAAAAGAACCAGCAGCAATAGATGAAACACAAACCGCAATAAGTGTAGGGAATTAGCAGTATGATGTTGAAATGTTTTAACATAAATCCCAGCAGAAAAAGGCACACATGAGTATAAAGCTCCAGCAAAAAACTAGATGCCTAACTGTATTCCAAGGTTTAATTTCTCATTTATGACCCATTTTAAGTATTTTTGTGTTCTTGCAGAAGTTTTATTAAATATGACATGGGTAACAAGGCATGCACATTCATCTGAAAAAGAGCCATCAACCAATCTTACCATGGTCTGAAAGAAGCAGAAGATTTACACATTTGTCCAGATGCATTTGTTTAAGTCCATCCATCAACATTCCAACAATACGGTCCACCTCCATGAGAGCTTTTATGACCTGTGCAGATGACTGCATGTTATTTTATTAAACAACATCAATTTACTGTATACTTATGCTTACTAAAGTATTGCCTTCTAAAAAAAAAAAATCTCTAACTTGTCATATTGAAGTCTAACTAAAAATTTGGTAATATAATTCTTCATTGTGTTCTTGCAGTAGTATCCTTGTTAGATATTGTCATGATTGCACCATGCCGATATGCAACCTTGAATTAACAATTGATAAGTGTCAGTAGTCTGGGATTTCCCTGCCATGTGTGTTAGTTTCAGTTTGTACTTCTTTGGCTTTTTGTTTCTCTCTTACTTAAAATAAATTATGAGTAGTGCCAAAAGGTACGTTATTGCTACTTCTATGGATGTTTAGCTCCAATTCACTGCCATTCCGCACTCAGTCGCTGTGAAAGAAGCCCTCTGCCGAGAACAGCAATGACCAACTGGTGGCCTGCAAGCCACATAAAGAAGGCATCTCAGGCCCCTTGCAGTCTGTGGCCGGAACGTGGACAGTCCCTGTGGACACAACACAAATTGGCAATGGAGCGCAGAGTGTGTCAATAATCTATGTGTTACAACACCCGTCTGATTCCAGTGCATATTGCTGACACTAAGGCCCCATGTACACGGGATACTTTTGAACAGTGGGAACTGACTGCTGGAAAACGTAGGTTAAAAAAAAGTCTGTTTAGCCGAGTTTGCATAACGCGTTTAGAAGCGTTTATGTGCGGTTGCATTTAGATGCGTTTTTTAAAGATAAGCACAGGAGAACTTCCCAAATGCCCAGAATGCACTGAAAAGTGGTAAATGATTAACTATTTCAGACTGTTTCAGAGAAATACAGAGAGTAGAGCAGAGACAGCAGTATGTGTTGAAATTAGCTTAGGTGTGAGTTGCTCATTAGCATTTGTTTTGTTTCAAAGGGTGGGAAAGGTGTCTGGTAGAGTGAGTCATCAAGGCCACATGGCAAGGGGTTTTCATGAGGAATTTGAGGTGTGAATGGTCATTAACATATCTTTTGTTTCCAAGGGTGGGAGAGGTCTGAGGTGTGAATTGGTCATTAAAATGTGTGACAAGCTTGGCAGGAACATCCTGTGTTTTGTCTATTTGAGTACATTGAAAACGCTCTGCATGAATTTTTCATGATGAAAAAGGCTCTGGACAGCATCGGGAACTGGAAGAGTTAAAAAAAAATTTCAAACACAAACTCTTATAAACGCGATTTACCGCGTTTAGCCGCGTTTACAAGCGTTTTGTGTTTGAAACGCTGATAAAATCAACTGCTGAACGCAAGTTTTCTGCGTTCAAAAAAACAACTGTAAACTCAAATGCCTATATATGACAGTAAACGAAAAAGTGTACATGGACACACAGGAAAACATTAGGGTGAGTTCAGGGGCTGATGAATAAAAAGCTGAACAGCTCCTAAACGTGAGTTTATCAGCTGCAGTGTACATGAGCCCTAACACCACGGAAGGGTGAAACTGACATCGGTAAATGGGGTTTATTATTGCTAACACTGACACTAATAAAGAAGTTTTATTATTGCTGCGTTTCCCTTGAGATAGTCACAGATTGGCAAAGCGCGTCAGCTGTGAGATCAATCAGTGTTCATCAGTGGGAGAGAGCTTGAGTGTGGGAGACAGGTAGGTGCACACAAGTGTTGTATACAGGGCTGGCCACTTACTACACTGTCAGAGGTATACATCATGATCCTGAGACCACACAGCTGCTTTTTATTAGAGCCAGTCTGCTTCTATGTTTATAAGTGCAATTTGACTTTCAATAAAGCCTTTTAAAGATGTTATTACCCTATGTGAGTTTCCACTATGTCTCCTCTGCTTGCCGCTGTTATAGCTCATGGGTCATGTCAGTCTGAAAACTGCAGCAGGATGATTAGGAAGGATCTGATCACAGAGTATCCATTTGTGATACAAGCGCAATATGCCAATCTTGTAAAAGAAAGGCACTGTGAGCGAGTTTCCAATCTTAAGTGAAGATACTCACAGCATCTGGATGAAGTTTCACAAATGAAATACATTGGAGAACCTTGGCGCAACATTTGTTCTCTTTGGTATGATTGACTTCTGAACTTCATTTTTTTTTTACACTATAGTTATTACATTTTGCTATATACCCACATGGAAGAAAAATATATTTGAAATATATTTTAAAAATATTCTTCCCAAATATATTGCCATATATTTGAAATGCAACAATCTTGGCCATATATTCTAAATATATTAAGAAAAAAAACAATTATATATATATATATATATATATATATATATATATATATATATATATATATACTGTATATATATATACATATACACACACACACATATATACATATATATATATATATATGTATATATATATATATATACACACACATATATACATACACACACACACACACTGCATGTTGAAATGTGTTTTTATTACAAAACATATGAAAAATATTTAAAAAAATACATTTCAAATATACTGTATGTCTTTAAAATACAAATCTACATTTTTGGAATGGATTTACAAATCTATGTAAAAATATATGTTAAAATTACTTTTTTATATGTTAAAAAAAATCTGAAGAATATATTTAAAAAAAAGTATTCTTCAGATTTTTTTTTTTTTAACAGATTAAAAAGTAATTTTAACATATATTTTTTATATATTTGTAAATGCATTCCAAAAATGTAGATTTGTATTTTTAAAGAAATACAGTATATTTGAAATGTATTTTTAAAAATATTTTTCATATATTTTGTAATAAAAATGCATTTCAACATGCAGTATATATATATATATATATATATATATATATATACAGTATATATTTAAATATATTTTGAAATATATTGAATGTGGCCAAAATTGTAGCATTCCAAATGTATGGCAATATATTTGGGAATAATATTTTTTAAATATATTTCAAATATATTTTTCTTCCATATGGGTAATTTGGTACTATTGCTTAGGCCACTTAACCCCTTTATGCCGGCCTCACACAAATGTGCGGCCTCCTGGCGTCTGGGCCAAGACGCCGAGCGGCCGCACATTTGCGTTCAATATACAAAATACATATGTGCTGAGAGCGCGCGTCACATGATCCCTAAACCCCGCCCCGCCCTCCCTGCCTCCCAGCTTCTGAAACTCTTAAAGGGCCGGGAGGCGCTGGCATGAAGGGGTTAAATTATAAGTTCATCTTTTAACAAAAAATAATAAATGCACATTTTTTTGCAACTAAAAGATGTGCATTTATTATTTTTTGTTTGTGAAGCCTCTAAAGCATTTCACCAGCGATCAGCAGATCTCTAGTGCCATGCAGGTCTCCCCCTGACCTATCAGTGTATCTGCTTGCTCGTACATCCTGTACGGGCAAGCAGATACTTACTGACAGAAAGGCTCAATGAACTACCACAGCGCCATGGTAGTTCATTGAAAACTACAAGCCGACAGCCACAAAGGACACTGTGAATAAGTGACGCTAGCTGTCATAACGGGGATCAGGGGTGCGGGACCCGGTCCAATTGTAACATGTTACATCCTGAATACTTATGAACTTATCCTTTAACAGGATATTAGCAAATGAATTACGTTTTGCTTATATCAGTGCTATGTTCACTTTGGAGGATTGAGAGCATTTGAGTTGATTTATTATCTAGTTTTTACTGTAATATGGGTGCATTACTAGCAATATACTTCTTTTTTCTCTTTTAATTAAGGTGTATAAATACAGCAGGTTTCTTATGGGTGGTTCAGTCTTTAGTGTGGAGAAGGGATTCATTGTATAACATTTAAAACATAGTTGCACCATTTTAAATGTAAGAACAGACTTCAGGTTCAAATATTAGAGGTTTGACAAAAACAGAGTAGTATAATTTAAATTAAACTTGATATAAACCTGTGCTATTCAAACTGAGCCCTTGATGAAAAAAATGCAAATGGAGCAAAAACCATGCATCAAAATAACAAAAAGATCTAGAAATATTGGCAGCTGAATTTTTGTGCAAAACCTGGACTTTTCTTAAAGTAAAGGGAAAGTATGGCCTCTATCCCATATACAGTACCTGCAGGGTCTCCCTTTTGGTCACTGAGGCCCCCCATAGCATTCTAATAGATAGCCAAGGATATGGGAGGGGGATTGTCAATGTTTAAAAGACAAGTCAAGATTCGCAAACTATTGGAACATAGATCCAGACTCTGAATCTGATTGTTTTGTCCTGCATGGTTCACTGAACTCAACCCTTTAATTTCATTATGATTGGCGCATTATGTTTTTTTAATCATGAATTTAGTCTGAATTACCCAGGTCTGTGATGAGTCTACATTAACAATTCTACTAACACTAAGGTAAGCAAAGTAATGAGGTGTTTTACTTACTGCACTGCTGACCGGACTGTGTTTGTGTCCTGACGAGTCTGGTTCTTCTAAATACAGAGTGTAAAAGTGTGGTCTAAATCAAACAGTGCCAAGAATGACACAGACTTGTCAATTAATCTGAATTAAAAAGCAATATTCAGCTAAAATCAAAGATCAGACTGAGTAGAGTAAACGTTTCCAAGCCATCAATACGTCAGGGATATTTTTTTAGGAGCACTTTTAATACTGGACTCCAGGCAAAAGTTATTTTTAAAATTTTGGTTAGAGTGGGGCAGGTTGGAACATTTACCAGGTTTTCATTGCTGTCTTTGTTTCCCACTAAGTAGATTTCCACTCACTTCCCTAACAGGAAGAAAGAAGAAATGATTGCAGATTGGACACTGATAGCAAAAAAACAAAAACCTGTCAAGTGTTCCCACTCTATCCATAACTAAAATAAAACACTTGACTGGTGATCCATTTAAACTCATAAGAAAAAGAGAAATTGCATTTCCTTTTCTGACTGTTTCAAACAAGTCAAACCTAAAATCTAATCAGCTGCTACAGGTAACAGTGGAGGAGATTTACTAAAACTGGAGCACTCAGAATCTGGTGCAGTTGTGCACTGTAACCAATCAGCTTCTAACATCAGCTTGTTCAGTTTAGCTTTGTCAGTAAAACCTAGAAGCTGATTGGTTACTAAGCACAACTGCACCAGATTCTGTGTTTATTAAATCTCCCCAGTGTGTCATTGCACTCTTAGTCCTCATGTACACGGGGCATTTTGATAACGCTGGTAACGTTAGCGGTGTAAAGTCACTTTAACCACTTCCAGTTCGGACACTTTTACCCCCTTCCTGTCCAGGCCAATTTTCAGCTTTCAGCGCTGTCACACTTTGAATGACAATTGCGCGGTCATGCAACACTGTACCTATATGACTTTTTTAGCATTTTGTTGAGACAGATAAAGCATTATTTTGGTGGTATTTATTCACCACTGGGATTTTTTTTTTTTTTTTTGCTATGTAAATGAAAAAGTCCAAACATTTTGAAAAAAGTGTTTTTCCTATAAAATTTTGCAAATAAATCATATTTCATCATACATCTTGGCCAAAATGTATTCCGTTATCTTTTTAGTAAAAATAAAATCCCAAATAAGTTTATAACCAAAAATTATAATTTTTTAACTTTTTTTTTACATTTTTCTTTTATTTTTTTATATTATTATTTATGTTTTTTTGTAACATACTGTCACCCTAGCAGTACAGTGTCACCATGGTGACACTGTACTACTTGTGAGGGGTGATGAAGATTTTTTTTTTTTTTACACTGATTGCTTTTACACCCATAAAGGCTGTAAAAGCAATCATTTCTCCTTCTCTCTGGATGCATTCTTGCAGCCATTGAGAACTACTGTGTGAGCTGTGTTTGGTCACAGCTTGTCACATGGTACAAGGCTGTTGTGAATAGCCTTGTACCATGTGACCTCTGTGATCATTCACAGATTTCACACATAGTAAGCAATAATGTCAGAAGTGATATCTTGCTTACTTCTCTGCATGTGGTCACTGATTGGTGAATTTTTTTAGCTGGAAAAAAACGCCCAGAACTAGTGGGTTTCTAGAGGAGTTTAGCTGTAAAAACATGGTAAAACACTGAAAAATGTTGTAAAAATGTGACAAACTGGCATTTTTTTTATCGTTTTTTTGAGCAAACAATTAATTATTGCTTTTCAGTTAAAAAAAAGCTAAAAAACGCAAATACTAATGCAAAAATTCTAAAAAAATACTGAAAAACTTGCGTTTTTTTTTACGTGACTTTACATAGCTAACGCTACCAGCGTTATTAAAATGCCTACTGTGCATAGAGCCTAAGGGGTTAAGTCCAATGAAGTGCATGGCACCACATAGATTTATCTCTTTTATTTGCAAAATTTAAATTTTTACTGAGCATCGGAAGCATAGTGCCAGGACAGGGGCGGACTGACCATTTGGAAACTCGGGCACTGCCTGAGGGCCCGGGGTAAGTAAGGGGCCCCATGAGATGCCCCTGGTACCTTTTTCATAGGCTTTTTTGAGTTTGGGCAAGGACACAGGGACCCCATGATCCCCTATTGCCCGGGGGCCCCATGAGTTGTCATGCCGCCCCTGTGCCGGGATTTGCATGCCACTGCTCTGCCCATCCCTTCCATTCCCCCTGCCCAACCACAGTGTGTTTTTTATTATGTGAACTCATTCACATGGTGCAAAGCCTTCTGCTAATTACAGTGGAGGGGAGGGGTGCACAGAGCAGATACTGTTTGAGAAAGCAGTGTCTCTCCTGTTTGAATGCCAGAAATGTAGAGATACATGTACACCCAACACTCAGTAAAACTGTCAGTTGTAAATAAAAGATACATCCATGGGGTAGCATGCACCTTGTTCTACTTAACCCACTGTAATTCAGTAGATTTTAGAAAGTGGCTGAGTTCCTGGAATTCAGCTTTAAAGCTATCATGAAGAAAGTATTAATAACAGACACAATTTCAGATGTAGATACTTCCAAAAGAAAAGTCAAAATGTTTGACTTTTTAGCGAAACAAGGCATATAACTTAGTGTAACTCAGTGGTTTATATTCCCAGAAATACAATGGAAAATATCAAAAAGGATTTACTAAGAATTTTTTTTTCAAGGAATCTTTTGAGATGACAAGGAAAAGAAGTGAGAATGGCCATGACCATTCCCAAAGTAAACTTTGCATTACAATATAGCATTAAACTAAAATCTGAGAGATTCATAGAAGCATATTATTTTATCTAAGTAGTGACCTTTATATGTCTAGATATATTATTCTAGGTTACAGATTCTCTATAGGCCTGATTCACGCTGTTGCGGAGTGTTACTGCACACACGTTAAACATCTGTCATTAGTTTTCAAAGGGCTTCCAATGCAAGGCAACAAGATTTTAAGAACAGTGCACCTTTTTATCAATGCAGCACACTACCATGCGTTAATGCAATGGTTCAAAAATTCATACGTTGCCATGCACTGCAGTTTTGTACAGTAAAACACACCTTTTAACATGCATTACAAACACTCCAACATGCCAACACAAAGATGTGAAACTGGCCTTGGGGATGTTTGGACAGCAGTTTGGCAATTCTTCAAGAGTATAAAAGAGTTCTAAACTTGGTGGCCTTTAGAATAAATCATACATATAAAAACGTCTACAAAAACTCAGTAACAATACACAGTACATTTGAGACATATTTAACATTTTTTGAGGTCCTGTATTCATTATTATTTACTAACTACCTTACCTCTCATGTTCAGGTAGGCTTAGCCATTTAAGGATGGACATGACTCTGTGTTCAAAAGGAACTGATCTGTGGAAGAGAGTCAATGAGTTATATAAATTAGTTATCAAGAACACATTAGCTAGTGTATTCAACACAGACTACAAAGAGTAAATCATTAAATGCACTAACCCACAGAAACCAATTACAATTAAAGTGTATGTAAACCCAGGAAAAAAAATTTAATATATTGCAACTTATCAATCCTTACCAATCATGTTGCGCACCTGTGCCGCCCTTTAGCAGTATTTCTGCTATAGGAAGGATGGGAAGTGGTTAATGCAATTGTGCAACAGTGTGCACTGACCAGTCAGAACCCTCTTGTCCATCTTCACACAGACGCCAAGTTCTATTGAACGTTACACAGCACTGGAGCTTGGAGGCACTGAGCAGAACCCTGGGACGATTTAAATGGATAACTGCTTTTTTTTTTTAAGGACAAAGTTAAGCCAGCCATAGATGGATCACAATTCAGGTGGATCAGCAGGGATTGGCTGAATTTCAATCCATCTATGAGCAGGCTGGTTTTACTGAAGTCCATCCATCAATCAACTTCAGTACAACCGGCCTGTAAGGTTTTTTTGTTTGATCACTACCAACCACTATAGCCAGCAGCAGTAATCATATTCTGATGACGGGGAAAACCTTCCCTGTCAGAATACAAAATCTCTGCAGGAAGGATTCCCCCATCAATACTGAGTGTGTGGATGGGGAAATTGAGCAATTTTCTTTCCTGTGGTTGCACATAGTTCCAGACTCCTAAAAAACAGAACATATGAAAACCAATCACTCTACCAAAAACTGCCAGTCCAGATTGTAGCCTTTCTAACCAAAAGTGAACATCTACAAAAGGGTTCTGAAGGCAAATAGGGGAAAGAATATTTTGCTAAAGATTTGATTCCAAATGATATTTTTTCAACTTTTTTCTCCTTGACACATGAAAAAAACTGCTAGACCAATTTTTTTTCCTGGGGTCCAAATACATATGCATGGATGCTAAAGTGGAGCTTCATTCTAAAGGCCTCCTTCCCCGCTCCTTTAAGAAATAGCACTTTTTTGGTGGGGTGCGGGTACCTGATTTTGACAGGTACTTGCTCCCACCACTTAGGTGATCCAAGTGGAAGCTGTCTACCCTCCGCACAATCTTCTGGGACATGTCACAGGTCCTAGAAGACCGTGGGACCATTCACAATGCACAGCACGGCTCACACATGAGCAGTGGACACCCGGCTGTGAAGCTGTCATATCCAGGTGCCCACAGCTAAGATGCTGGTGCCAGGGACCGAAGACGGGTGAGAAAATAGGGGAAAGAATATTTTGCTAAAGATTTAATTCCAAATGATATTTTTTCAACTTTTTTCTCCTTGACACATGAAAAAAACTGCTAGAGCAATATTTTTTTTTTCCTGGGGTCCAAATATATATGCATGGATGCTAAAGCGGAGCTTCATTCTAAAGCCCTCCTTCCCCGCTCCTTTAAGAAATGGCACTTTTTTTGGGGGGTGCGGGTACCTGATTTTGACAGGTACTTGCTCCCACCACTTAGGTGATCCAAGTGGAAGCTGTCTGCCCTCCACACAGTCTTCTGGGACATGTCACAGGTCCTAGAAGACCGCGGGACCATTCACAATGCGCAGCATGACTCACACATGAGCAGTGGACACCCGGCTGTGAAGCTGTCACATCCAGGTGCCCACAGCTAAGATGCCGATGCCAGGGACCGAAGACGGGTGAGAAAATGGCTCGGGTGAGCACAGCGCTGAACCTTCAGCCTTTAAAACCACTTTAAATTATAATATCTATTTCATTTGCCATGGTATGACTTACTATATGTGTTAAATACACAGCTGTCAACACTACACTAAAAGGTGGAAAACTAGATTGCATATTAAGTGACATAACTATTAATATAATGAATTACCCATTGTATTCTTTATAAAGGTTTGGAAAAGTTCCATTGATCTTTACATCTGATCCTGGCCAAAAGTAAGTTGCTGTCTTTAGTCCTTCATTCATAGCAGTTATCCATACCTATGAAAAGAAGAATTTAGTTGGATATTGTGACTTAACCAAACTTTCATTTTTATGTTGTACATGAAATTCCAGGAACAAAAATATAAAGCTTGTGAAAGCCAAATGACATTAGTATCAATTAATTTTATGTGCCTGATTTAGAATAGAGAGCAATCACTACAGTATGGTTACACCATGGGATGCCATCGACAGTTCCCACTTCACAAAGTCCAGTTTATGTCTGTAGATTTCTGTGATATTCCACCAGACTTCAATGGTGCCACTGAAACTTTAAATAAAAGGTTACGTAAGGATGCTTGAGCTATTTAAGATATTGACAATGCAAAATACTCACCAAAAACTGCAAAAAAATTAGCACTGTGCATAAATATCGTGAACAGCATTTGTACCATTTGGAGTTTTTTTCCATGGCACTACTGGTGTTTGGTGGTTCATCTGAGTAATCTACAGACATAAGCTGTTTTTCAGGACAAGCCGGGGCATTCTCTGCTGGTGGAGGTACAGGCATCCCTGAGTGATCGCCTTTGGAATCATACAGCAAAAGCACATTTATTTATTTCTGGTACTTATATAGCGCTGTCAATTTGCACAGCGCTTTACATATATATTGTACATTCACATCAGTCCCTAACCCTCAAGGGGTGTACAATCTAAGGTCCGTAACTCACATTCATACACATACTAGGGCCAATTTAGACAGGAGCAAATTCACCTACCAGCATGTCTTTGGAGTGTAGGAGGAAACCGGAGTACCCGGAGGAAACCCATGCAGGCACAGGGAGAACATGCAAACTCCAGGCAGGTGGTGCCGTGGCTGGGATTTGAACCAACAACCCGAGTACTGCCAGGTGAAAGTTCTAACCATTTAGCCACTGTGCTGCCCCGTTTCTACTACCTTGTTACTACCTTTTTTTTCTAGTCAATAGGTTTGGTGAAATACACCTGTGAGCATTAAGGTGAAGGTCACTAATGCTGGTGTTTACATCTTAACAGTGTTTTTTCTGCTGAAGCGCTACATACATGGATATTCCATTACTGTTGACTGTATATAGTTCTCATGTTCGCAGTTATTAATAATCATAATCTGAAGCGTGGGCTATAAAATGGGCTATAAAATGCCCATAGCAGCTAATCTGAATTAACCTTTCCTTTTATGGAAAAGTAAATCTGAATTCTGATTTGCTGCCATGGGTAACTACTTCATTCAAAATTTATCAAATGTGCCCCTTGGCTCTCACTTAACTGAGCCTACAAACACTAAACAGGTATTAAAAGTGAAGTATAAAGGGAACTAATGTAAGACATACAGAAAGCTAGAGGCAACATAGTAGAAAAAGGGTTAAAAGCATATCACCTCTGACCTCTCCTTCTCTCCCCACATGCAATCAATGAATAAATCTTGCTGCTTTAACCATCATAGCATTTCCAGGATTTGCCCGTTCCTAACTATTGCCACCACAAAACAACTTATTCACTCCCTGGTGTATAAGGAGGATTGTACCTCCTGCTCAAGTTCCTCTATTTTTAAGGTGACTTGAATAATTACCTGCAGACGAGATAAGGTTCCAAATTGTATTCATTGTTGCATATGCGTATATGGGGAATACAGGGTCCGAATTCCCTGCATTCCACCTTCCATAAAGTTCTTCTCTACTTATATATCCTTTCTTATCAAATAGCAACTGACTACATGGCAGGACCAAGATGGACACTCCACCCAACATGTTACACAAACCTGCTGGCACAGTTACAATCTAGATATACGAGTGTGTCATTTGCAGTAAACAACTTTAAGCACATGTCTAAAAAGACAAAATGGAGTGTGTGTGTATATATATATATATATATATATATATATACACACAGGTGAAACTCGAAAAATTAGAATATCTTGCAAAAGTTAATTTACTTCAGTAATGCAACTTAAAAGGTGAAATTAATATATGAGATAGACTCATTACATGCAAAGCAAGATAGTTCAAGCCATGATTTGTCATAATTGAGATGATTATGGCTTACAGCTCATGAAAACTCCAAATCCACAATCTCAGAAAATTAGAATATTGTGAAAAGGTGCAATATTCTAGGCTCAAAGTGTCCCACTCTAATCAGCTAATTAAGCCATAACACCTGCAAAGGGTTCCTGAGCCTTTAAATGGTCTCTCAGTTTGGTTCAGTAGGAATCACAATCATGGGAAAGACTACTGACCTGACAGTTGTGCAGAAAACCATCATTGACACCCTCCATAAGGAGGGAAAGCCTCAAAAGGTAATTGCAAAAGAAGTTGGATGTTCCCAAAGGGCTGTATCAAAGCACATTAATAGAAAGTTATGTGGAAGGGAAAAGTGTGGAAGAAAAAGGTGCACAAGCAGCAGGGATGACCGCAGCCTGGAGAGGATTGTCAGGAAAAGGCCATTCAAAAGTGTTGGGGACTTTCACAAGGAGTGGGCTGAGGCTGGAGTCAGTGCATCAAGAGTCACCACACACAGGCGGATCCTGGACATGGGCTTCAAATGTCATATTCCTCTTGTCAAGCCGCTCCTGAACAACAAACATCGTCAGAAGCGTCTTACCTGGGCTAAAGAAAAACAGACCTGGTCTGTTGCTCAGTGGTCCAAAGTCCTCTTTTCTGATGAGAGCAATTTTTGCATCTCATTTGGAAACCAAGGACCCAGAGTATGGAGGAAGAATGGAGAGGCACACACTGCAAGATGCTTGAAGTCCAGTGTGAAGTTTCCACATTCTGTGTTGATTTGGGGAGCCATGTCATCTGCTGGTGTTGGTCTACTGTGCTTCAACGCAGCCGTCTACCAGGAGATTGTGGAGCACTTCATGCTTCCTTCCGCAGACGAGCTTTATGGGGATGCTGACTTCATTTTCCAGCAGGACTTGGCACCTGCCCACACTGCCAAAAGCACCAAAACCTGGTTCAATGACCGTGAGATTACTGTGCTTGATTGGCCAGCAAACTCGCCTGACCTGAACCCCATAGAGAATCTATGGGGCATTGCCAAGAGAGAGATGAGAGACGTGAGACCGAACAATGCAGAAGAGCTGAAGGCCGCTATTGAAGCATTCTGGTCTTCCATAACACCTCAGCAGTGCCACAGGCTGATAGCTTCCATGCCACGCCGCATTGAGGCAGTAATTGCTGCAAAAGGGGCCCAAACCAAGTACTGAGTACATATGCATGCTTATACTTTTCAGAGGTCTGATATTGTTCTATGTACAATCCTTGTTTTATTGACTGCATGTAAGCCATAATCATCACAATTATGGCAAATCATGGCTTGAACGATCTTGCTTTGCATGTAATGAGTCTATCTCATACATTAGTTTCACCTTTTAAGTTGCATTACTGAAATAAACGAACTTTTGCACAATATTCAAATTTTTCGAGTTTTACCTGTATATATATATAGACTCAGTAAGGATTATAGTTATCCCTACACACTGGTTATATCCCGCCTTGACTACTACAACTCCCTCTTCACTGGCCTACCTTTACACAGGCTATCCCCCCTGCAGTCTATCCTGAATGCTACTAGACTTTTCCTTACTAACCAAAACTCTCTGCCAATCTCTTCACTGGCTTTCACTAGCCCAGTGAATAAAATTCAAAATACTAATCACAACATACAAAGCCATCCATAAGACTGCACCCAGCTACATAACCAACCTCCTCTCGAGATATCGCCCAAATTGTCCACACTGCTCCTCCCATGCTCACCTCCTGGACTTTTCCAGAACCTCTCCCATCCTCTGGAACTCCCTAACCCTGTATGTCTGTTATCTCCTACCCTGTCTGCCTCTCCCTTGAAAACTCATTTATTCAGGAAAGCCTCCCCCACAAAACTGTGTTTGGGCCACCTCCATCAAATCATCCCCCACAGCTATTACCTTTTGTGCCACCTCCCCTTCCGTTAAGCTCCATAAGCAAGGCCCTCATATTCCTTCATTATTAAAATGTATTGTAATTATACTGTCTCCCTTTATATTGTAAAACGCTGTGCAAAGTGTTGGCGCTATATAAATCCTGTATAAAAATAATAATAAATATCACCAAGTACATAAGCAAGTTTATCATAACCCTTATTATTTTAAAAGTGGTGTTGATTTAAGGTTTTGGAGAGAGTATGGAGCATTTAAAACCCCTGTTTTTGGGCCCAATAGTAAGGTTTCCCTTAATTTCCTGCCCAGAAGATTTAACAGGAAACAAGAGAAAATCTTTCCAAAAGTGAACGAAAATCTCTTCTTAGACAGTCATTCCAGAACAGGTTCCTACTGGAAAATGTTCATCTATTCCTGTTCTGGCGACAACTGTAATTTTGGACTCCCCTGACTTTCTGTCCCATTGAAAATGGCCACTAAGACAAATAAAGAATTGGAGCCTACATAGTGGGCAGGGCTTGGGGGGGGTGAGTTGAGCACAGCTGCACAAGAAGGGAGGAGGCCGTTGAATGACCATCACCCCATCGTCAGTGGAGTTGCTGTGCAGAGCAGCAGAGCACCTTGCCGAGTGGCGGCGGGGTGCTGTGTGCCGGGCGTACCAGTGGAATATTATATATGCACACATTAAAGATTAGGGTTGCTATATAGCCATGCCCAGCAAACATCACTTTACCGCAGTCCTCAACAAGCAAGCAAAGAGAGGAAAATTTGTAGAGCAGCTATCCTGCCTTCCACTGCCTCTCCTGCCAATGCCACATGCCCCCTAGCTGTAGCTCCACTCTTCTTCTCTTCTTCCCCTGCCACTACATTTGAATGTGGCTGGGCCAGGAAAAGAGAAAGGGGAAAAGATGCCAGCCCATCTGTGTGAACTACAGAGTTTGGAATATTGCACTGCTTCTGTCCTGGATAAAATACTGTGAGGGGGGAGGGAAGAGAATGAACAGAATAGAGAGTGGACAGAGTGGAGAGTTACAGGCAAAAGTTCTGCACAACAGATGAGATCTATTAAAAAAAAAGATAATATGACTTTGGCACCACAAGTTATGAAACTCAATAAAAAAAAAAAGTTAGTAAACAATTTAGTATAATCAGAAATCTTCAGTAAAGATCAAGATTGTCTGTGATGTCTTGCTTTCAATTGTGATTGAGAAAGGAAGGGACTTTTTGTGAGAAGATATATATATATATATACAGTCATGGCCGAAATTGTTGGCACCCTTGATATTTTTCCTGAAAATCAAGTATTTCACACAAAAAAGGTATTGCATTAACACATGTTTTGCTATACACATGTTTATTCCCTTTGTATGTATTGGAACAAATATAAAACAGAGGCAGAAAAGCAAATATGACATAATGTCACACAAAACCCCAAAAATGGGCTGGACAAAAGTATTGGCACCCTTAACTTAATATTTGGTTGCACACCCTTTGGAAAACATAACTGAAATCAGTCGCTTCCTATAACCATCAATAAGCTTCTGACACCTCTCACCCGGAATTTTGGACCACTCTTCCTTTGCAAACAGCTCCAGGTCTCTCTTATTGGAAGGACACCTTTTCCCAACAGCAATTTTAAGATCTCTCCACAGGTGTTCAATGGGATTTAGATCTGGGCTCATTGCTGGCCACTTCAGAACTCTCCAGCGCTTCTTTGCCATCCATTTCTGAGTGCTTTTTGACGTATGTTTGGGGTCATTGTCCTGCTGGAAGACCCAGGATCTTGGACGTAAACCCAGCTTTCTGACACTGGGCCTACAGTGCGACCCAAAATCCTTTGGTAATCCTCAGATTTCATGATGCCTTGCACACAGTCAAGGCACCCAGTGCCAGAGGCAGCAAAACAACCCCAAAACATCATTGAACCTCCACCATATTTTACCGTAGGTACTGTGTTTTGTTCTTTGTAGGCCTCATTCCGTTTTCGGTAAACAGTAGAATGATGTGCTTTACCGAAAAGCTCTATCTTGGTCTCATCTGTCCACAAGACGTTTTCCCAGAAGGCTTTTGGCTTACTCAAGTACATTTTGGCAAACTGTAGTCTTGCTTTTTTATGTCTCTGTGTCAGCAGTGGGGTCCTCCTGGGTCTCCTGCCATAGCGTTTCATTTCATTTAAATGTCGAATAGTTCGCGCTGACACTGATGCTCCCTGAGCCTGCAGGACAGCTTGAATGTCTTTGGAACATGTTTGGGGCTGCTTATCCACCATCCGGACTATTCTGCGTTGCAATCTTTCATCAATTTTCCTCATCCGTCCACGACCAGGGAGATTAGCTACAGTGCCATGGGTTGCAAACTTCTTGATAATGTTGCGCACTGTGGACAAAGGCAAATCTAGTTCTCTGGAGATGGACTTGTAACCTTGAGATTGTTGATATTTTGCCACAATTTTGGTTCTCAGGTCCTCAGACAGTTCTCGTCTCCTCTTTCTGTTGTCCATGCTTAGTGTGGCACAGACAGACACACAATGCAAAGGTTAAGTGAACGTCTCTCCTTTTTATCTGCTTTCAGGTGTGATTTCTATATTGCCCACACCTGTTACTTGCCCCAGGTGAGTTTACAGGAGCATCACATGCTTGTAACATTCTTATTTATCCGCAGTTGTGAAAGGGTGCCAATACTTTTGTCCAGCCCATTTTTGGAGGTTTGTGTGACATTATGTCGAATTTGCTTTCTTTCCTCCCTTTTTTTGTTTTGTCCCAATACACACAAAGGGAATAAACATGTGTATAGCAAAACATGTGTTAATGCAATACGTTTCGTGAGAAATACATGATTTCCTGGAGAAATATCAAGGGTGCCAACAATTTCGGCCATGACTGTATATATGACTGTATTTGGATATCATTTTGATCTTTAATAAATATTTTTTAGAAAATTAAATTGAGAGGGTTTACTAGCTTTTGGTCCCTCAAAAACCCCATCTCTCTCTCTGCCCCCTTCCCAATCTACTGTCTCCTCTCCCTTGCATTTCTCCCTCAATTTAAAAAAAGTCCATTGTCCTGAGGTTTATGTATGTCTGTGAGATTTTAACACAGCAATTATCAATATTTTGTGGGTGCAAGGACTGTGGCATATGGGAAAAGTGCTTACAGCAAATTGGCACAGTTTCTCTTTAGTCATCCCCATTTTTGCCACTTCCACTGTTAGGCCCAACCTGGCCATGCCAACCATTCGAAGTGGCACACTATGCATGGCACAGAGCTTGTTTTTCCACCATATCCCAGAGTACCCCAGATCTTTCATGATCCTATTCATACTAATATTTTTTCACACTGTTTCTACTTTTCAGCTGAAAACCCAGGCAGATTACCCTTGTTATTGTTACATATGGTTTATACAGTTTAAATACTGATTGAAATGAGCCTGCACACAGTAAAGGGGAGGGGGCCCAGTTTGATCTGTGTGATCCTGCACACAGGTCCACTGAATTCAGAAAATACCCCTGCTCTGCCCTCCATGTCCTCCTTTTTTGCACCATGCTGGCCAAACAAAAGGCTGCACTACTGTCAGCTGCAGCAATCGCCACCCAACAGGTAAAAATTATTCCTGACCTGCTCCTCTGAGATGATATCATTTCCAACCAGGGAGAGAGAGAGTACGCATGGGGGTCACTGGCACCAATGCTGAAGGCTATTATTGTGGTAACTGACGGCAATGCTGGAGGTTATTACTGTGGTCACTGGCACCAATGCTGGGCATTGGAGGGGAATTTGAGGTTTCACCTTGGGCATTGGATGACCTTGTCCCAGAAGAGCCATTGGAGACACCAATAACACAAGAGGTTTCAAAACTTTCACATTCTATCGAAAATGTAAAAACGTTTTGAGTTGAAATTCACTTCAGTAATGCTCATTATCAGTTTTAGTATACATACTGGTTCTCCTTGATACCACGAAGAATGAAACTTCTCAGGGCTTCTCAGGGTGAAAGAAGCATTTCTGTATGGGTCATACATTTTATTGTCCACAATACCATGTGACTCTGGGTAGAGGCCCTGCAATCATAAAAACATGAGAATAGAAATGTTATCCTTGCTGCACTGCTGGAACTTTAACTTGTTATGAGAATGAAAATAGATGTCAAATTAAGCAGCTGTACTAACTGTTAACATATTTGAGGCCCAGCCAAGGCATATATTTCTACATTCAGATCAAATGCTTAGGGGACATTCTGCTTGTTCTCTGCCTTCCAAATTCAATAACCATTGAATGTGTTACTTATACTACTTTTGCCTGACGATTACTAAAATCCTTCCATAGAAATGTTTTATCACATTGCCACAATAGGCTGTGCTTATCAAAGTGACTAAAATGTTACTTATTAACAGCATTCATTGCAAAATGGTAATTGGAAAATACAACATTAAAGCGTATTTAAAACCAAAAACAAAACTGTAATATATATCACCTTTCCAGTTCTTAGACCTGTTGACTGCATTAGTTTTCTTTTTCAGCATTTTTTTTTATCTTGGTGATCCTACCATACACTATACAGTGACAAAGCTCACTCACTGCAATGTACTAATGGAAGAGCAGCATTGTCACACTAGGATTAGGACTGGGACTAAACACTACAAAAACACTCCCTCTCTTTTTCTTCATACTATAGGGAGTATTCTGTAAAGAGAGCTGAGAAAAGTGCAACTTGATAAGAGTCAGCAGTAGCAGAAAGAAAATGAAGTTATTAGCTCACAAGATTTATAACAGGAAGATAAACGTATAGTCTGACCTGCAAGTCAACTTCGGAAAACAGACCACCATGAATTATATGATTCAATGCATACCAGTTAGGCTTCTTTCACATGGGTGTTCCGTATGTCCATTTTTCATCTGTCCGTTTACGGATGAAAAACGGACCCCCATGTATTTCTATGGACTTGCGGATGTAAACGGATAAACATCTTTTTACATCCGTTAATGTTGGCATCTGTTAACATCCGTTTTTTTTGAACGGAAGAAAACCCAATTTTTCTTACGCAAAAAAAAAATGGAACGGACGAAAAACGGATGTCAACAGATGTAAACGGACCAAAAGCAGATCTAAACGGATGAAAAACGGATGTAAATGGATGAAAAACAGATGTAAAGCAATGTAAACAGGTGAAAAATGGATGTAAACAGATGAAAACGGATGAAAAAACAGATGGAAAAATGGATGTAAACAGATGAAAAAACAGATGTAAACTCATCCATTTTTTCTTTGAAAAAACATGACTGAACTGAAAAAGGAAAATGGAACGCTCGTTTGAAAGTACCCTTAAAGTATAACTAAAGGCAAAACATTTATCCTGTTTACCATTATCAAAAGTGAAAGAAAAATATCTAAAATTTTGGGTTGTCCCCAGACACTAATTCTGGTTACCTGGGGGCCCTCAATAAATTCCCTTAATTTTCAGGGATTTCCTCTCACTTCCTGTTTTGGCTATGGGGCAGGAAGTGAAGGTAAATCTCCCCAATGGGAGAAGATGGCAAAAAAAAACTTAAAGGGATTATAATTTTCCTTTGCTATATCCACAAAACAAAATTGCTTATAGTTATACTTTAAACCGACATGCAAAAATTTGCAGTGTTGCATAGTTCTCAAAATAATTTGCTCATACAGCAGTTAAAGTATTCTAATGAATGTTGTAATGGTTTGTCAGTTTGTTCGTTGTATCCCGTTTTTTGGGATTCTTTTGTGTAAAACTTTTTAGGAGGGTCAATAAAATGTGTTTTATTTCTTTTCAAATCACACTCAATTTACAGATGAACTTGAAAGGAATTTTGACAATGCTCTCTTGCAGTGGGGCTGCATCTGCATTGCAAGGGTTAACTGCTCATTTAGGTCTAGGGGCATGGAAAAGTAGATTTACTTACCTGACCCTCCACTCGTTTGTGCTGCTACACCACTTCCTGCAGTGTCTTCTCCCCCATTCTCTGGGGGTCTAAGGTCCTGATGTCCCCAAGTCCTGGATTGGACGTGGGAACATTGTGGGAACATGGGGGAGCACCGTCTGCTGGGGGAATGGAGGATTGGGTAGGTAAAATGCTTTTACTCTCCCCTAGACTAAACGAGTAGTTAACCCTTACAGTGTGGACCCAGTTCCACTGCAAGGGAGACTTTTCAGTTTCCTGGACTTGGGCTTTGATTTAGTAGATTTGTTTAACCACTTCAATACCGGGCACTTATACCCCCTTCCTGCCCAGGCCAATTTTCAGCTTTCAGCGCTGTCGCTCTTTGAATGACAATTGTGCGGTCATGCAACACTGTACCTATATGAAATTTTTATAATTTTTTTCACACAAGTAGAGCTTTCTTTTGGAGGTATTTAATCACCACTGAATTTTTTATTTTTTGCTAAGTAAAACGAAAAATACCTGAAACATTTGGAAAAAAAAAACACACGCTTTTCTTCGTTTCTGTTATAAATTTTGGAAATAAATAACATTTCTTCATAAATTTAGGTCAAAATTTATTCTGCTACTATTATTTGGTGAAAATAATAATAATAATATTTGAATTTTTACTTTTTTTCAAATGTTTCTATTATTTTTTTTTTTTTTTATAAAATATATTCTTTTTTTTTACTATTTTATTTTTCAGCACACTGTGACCAAAGCAATACAATGTTACCATAGTAACATTGAACTGCTCTGGTCAAGTGATCAGGATTTTTTTTTTTGTTAACACATTATGATTGCTAATACCAAGTATTTCATTGATATTTGCAATCGTTACTAAATGAAACTGATTCATTCAGACTTTTGTTGTGATTAGCTGTGAATGAGCAAAGCTGATCACATGATACAGATGGGCTGTGAATGGCCCTGTCTGTATCATGTGACTGCCTTGACCAGTCACAGCTAAAAACATAATTGTATACAATGAATGGCATGACAGGAAGCCATCCATTGTATACTATTGACATGTGATCTGCTGTGATTGGTCACAGCACTCACATAACACTGGCAATGGGCCGGTGTAGTGAAATGGCATCGGCTGTGTTCCGGGGACACAGCCGGTAACAGATCGTGCCGCTGCGCAACCCCGCGGCCGCGTGAGCTACTCATTTTGACAGGATGTCATATGACGCCCAGACACATGTGAGATGGGGAAACAGCTCTCATTGTTTGAACACTGTTTGTGTGGAAGTAAATTAATGTTTAGCCACAAGATGTCACTGTTTTTCTAACACAGCCTCAGACTGCATAGATATTTGTATATTCATGAAGAGGTGGGTTTTTTTTTTTGCACACAGAGTTGAAGAGAACAGGAAGGAGAGAGAAGCTATGTTTTAGAGTATGGTGAATAAGGGGCCCTGTGAGCTGAGAATCTGATGACATCCAGGTGTGAAAGCGTCCCTCCGTAACCAGTGCTGCAGCTAAGTGAAGCTGATGAGATTGCTGCCAGGAAGCTGATGAGATTGCTGCCAGGAATGCTGATGAGATTGCTGCCAGGAAGGCTGATGAGAGCAGAGGAACTAAGCAACATATACGGCGAGACCGCATGTTTGTTGGAGAGACATTTGTTCTGTTCAGAGTCACCAGTGGATGAAAGCAGACCCGGATCGGTAAGATCGTGCATTTCAGTGTTGGCACCTTGAGACTGATTCCAGGCCTATAGTTAGTTAGTTAGGGTCTCTGTGTCAGGCCACAAGTGTTGTTACTGATCATTGGAAGGACTCCACAACTTAAAGTGACATTTCACATTGGAGCGCTGATAAAATCCTACAAACTCAAGCCAGACTGGCGTTTTGCTCAGAAGGAATACTCAGGCACGTGCTACAGGACCAGTTATGGGAGAGGGAATACTGTAGATTTGTGTAAGATTGTAAGCTGTTGTGCTGCACCGCAGGCTAGCCCATACCATACACCCATACACTGGTTCCTGCTCTTTTAGGGTAATAATAGGTAAGGTGTGGCAGCTTATTTGTGCCCGCCAGTAGTAAATTACTTCACTTTCTACCTTCATCCATCAGAAGGCGCCGTGCTGTGCAGCACAAGGGTCTCAGCCTTTGGGCTGGGTGTATGTAAATTTATTGTATGTTCCCCGCATTTGTGGTTGTGTTTATTTGCCACATCTAAGTAAAATTCTGTTGTGGCAAAAGCTGTTGTTTGGGGTTGCTTTCCTCATTCGTGACTTCACTGTATCCTGGGGAGCCCACCCTAGTACACGGCTTACACACAACGCCGAGTGTTTGGCTATAGGCCGGGCGGGAAGGTGTTAACAAGCTGGTGCAGATTTTGGACAGTGTCCCACTAACCATTTATCACTAACATGTTGTCAGTATTTTACATTGAAAGCTAAAAAGATGAGGCACGGAACTGGCCTCTGAGTTTTCAATCTAATGATTGTTTTGTATTATAGAATTTCACATACTGATCGCTCCATTTCATCAACACTTTGCCAAAATTAGATTTCTGAATTATACTTGTTCAAACCCATGTTGTCTTTATAAGAAAAAATACTTACACACACTCCACTACCCATTTTAATGTATAGTGAAATGATCTAGCCCAGGGGTCCTCAAACTACGGCCCGAGGACATTTATCCGGCCTGCCGGGCAGGGGCGTATCTGCCGTGAGGCAAGGGACTAGGGTTTGGCAGGTCGGGAGAGCTCGGCAGGACTTGGACGGGAGGCAGAAGGGCGGCTCAGCAATTCTAGAACAGGGGAATGTGGGCTCGGCTTATGAACCCACACCACTCACCTGGCCTCGTTGCAGCCAGCCGGCCATCTATTCTGATCAGTGCATGCAACCGTCACGGCCGGAGGGTGGAGCCTAGAGCTGACCATGAAGAGGGGGAGCAAGAAAGGAGACTCCATCGCTGCATGTCGGGTATCATGGCCATGGACCCTAGATAAGAGCAATAGATGATCGATCTCCTCCCTCTCTCTTTCCCCCCTCTCTCTCTCTCTCCCTCTCCCCTCCTCTCTCTCCCCCTTTCTCTCTCTCTCCCTCTCCTCCCTCTCTACCCCCCCCCCCCTCTCTCTCTCCCTCTCCTCTCCCTCTCTCCCCTCCTTATCTCTCCCCCCTCTCTCTCTCTTTACATTGTACACAGATCTGACCCAACAAGGTGTCCTGCATTTACCGTATATTTCGCTCCATAAGACACACTTGGGGGGAAATGTCTGTGCGTCTTATGGAGCGGCTGGCCCAGTATTCCTGCCGCTGTTGTATGTCCGCAGTCTCTGGTCATCTCATGTACTATGTCAGCAGTCTCTGGTCATCTCATGTACTATGTCCACAGTCTCTGGTCATCTCCTGTACTGTGTCCGCATTTGTTCATAGTTTTTTTTTAAACTATAGTCCGGCCCTCCAACGATCTGAGGGACAGTGAACTGGCCCCGTTTAAAAAGTTTGAGGACCCCTGATCTAGCCAATAACATATAAATAAAGTTTAGAAGCTAGAACAAACTATTTTTCAGGATCTACACAAAGAAGCATGAATGGCTTCCAAAATTTTATCACTTTGCATTGTTCATGTTGCCTGTTCAGGGTTTAATTTTCTAAAAAAAAAAATGTGTAAAGTAGAATTCCAGGCAACACCTTGTTTTGGGGAGAGTAGGAAATAGTTAGAACCTCACTTTTTTTTTTCCCTGGTGCCTGCTGCAAAATCCAAAATTTAAGAATCTCCGGAACAACGGAGGATTGGCTATCTCCCAATGGGTATAAATTGTTTAAAGACAACTGTCAAACAAAGGGTTTCCTCTCACTTTGGGAAGATTCTTCTCATGTTCTGTTAAGTCTGCGTAACAGGTTGTGAGATAAAATATCCCAATTAGGGGCACACAATGGAATACTAATCTCATACATTGCTCTGTCCAAAATTAGAAAAAAACATTTTGACTGGAGTTCAACTTTAAGACCACTGACCGCAATACAGACATATATTTCAATTATTGATAATTATCAGATTTTCTGATTTATAGACTATTCAATGTATAAAATAGCGTGATGTTATAATGTAGAAAATGGTATGATATTATCAATTTATATCACTTACTGTTACAATGCTGTAATGGTTAGGAAAGGTTTTTGATGGATACACTGGTCTTAAGGCACGTGTATATGTCCCACATTTTTCTGAAAATATAATTAAAGCAGGTTTTAATACATATAAGCTCTAAAAAGTGCAGAATGACAACCCATTTTTTGATAACTTGGATATTTTAGTGGTAAATATTAGATCTAGTAAATAATAGATCTTTGTCTGCCAAGAAACTAAGACTGTTCATATTAACTGCTGTTAAATCACTAAGTAGCACCCTACTAGGTAGGTTGCTAGGATAGGTAAATTTAGTTCTTTAGGGATCCTTTGTAATCATTGGTGCAACTATTGATTCAATTGGCCTGTTCTGGATTTCACAGGCTGCAGATTTAATTGCTCCCAAAACAGAGGGCTAAGAGGCAAATGGGCAGCTTGAATATTTAGTGTGCTTCAGCCAATCCCTGGGGAGGTGTACCCAGTAGGTTGCTGGGAAGAACATACAGCGCTCCGCATGAATGAGTACATCCCTTTTGAAAAGTAAGATTTTAATCAATATCTCAATGAACACAAGAACAATTTCCAAAAATTTGACAAAATTGAGTTTCATAGAACATTTGTTTAGCTCATTACATGAAAGTAAGGTTGATAATATAACTTAGGTTACAAAATCTTCAGCTTTATTCAAATTAGTTGAATACACCCCACAACAAAAACTACTACATCTAGTATTTTGTATGACCTCCATGATTTGGACAGCACCAAGTCTTCTAGGCATGGAATGAACAAGTTGGCAACATTTTGCAACATCTTTTTCCATTCTTTTAGAGCCTGGATGCTGGATAGAGTGATGCTCAACTTGTCTCTTCAGAATTCCCCATAGGTGTTCAATTGGGTTCAGATCAAGAGACATACTTGGCCACTGAATCATTTTCACTATGTTCTTCTTCAGGAATGCAACAATGACCTTAGATGTGTGTTTTGGATCACTGTAATGTTGGAAAAATGCACAACCAGGCGCGGACTGACCATTCGAGCACTGCCCGAGGGCCCGGGGTCAGTAGGGGGCCCCATGAAATGCCCCTGGTACCTTTTATAGGCTTTTTTGGGTGTGCTTTGAGTGTGGGCAAGGACACATGGGCCCCATGATCCCCTATTGCCCAGGGGCCCCATGAGTTGTCAGTCCGCCCCTGTGCACAACAACCAAGGACACTGAGTGATGGTAGCATCGTCTCTTTCAAAATAGAGCAGTACATCTGTGAATTCATAATACCATCCCTGACACAAGCAGCACTCATGCAGCCCCACAGAAGGACACTGCCACCACCACTGTAGGCACCATGCATTTTTCTTTGTACTCCTGACCTTTGCAATGCCATACAGTTTTAAAGCCATCAGTTCCAAAACCATTTATCTTGGTCTCATCACTCCAGAGTACCGAATCTCAGTAGTGTTCTTTCTTTTTCAGCATGGACCCTGGCAAATTCTAGGCAAGCTTTTTGGTGCATGGGCTTTAAGAGTGGATTCCTTCGTGGATGACACCTATGCATGCCATTTCTCTGCAGTCTGCAGACACCATATTGTGTCACAGAAAACAATCATTCCAGTTTGGCTTTCTACTCCGCCATGCAAGTTCACTGCAGTTAGCTAAATATTTTTTCAACCCTTCTCATCAGAAGACACTCCTGTCAAGGTGTTAACTTCCATGGACAGCCTGGACATCTATGTGAGATGGTTGCTGTTCCATCTTTGTTGAAATTTTTGTATCACTTTTGCTACACTATTCTGACTGATAAGTAAAGCTTTGCTGATATTCTTGTGGCCTTCACCTTTCTTGTGTAAAAAATTTTTTTTTTTTTCTCAGGCCTTGTGGCATTTCTCTTCCATATGGTGCCATTGCTGACAAAATGAACTAGGAAGGGGTTTTCTTTGTTAAGTAACACCCTTTTATAATCAACTGTCTGCTGGACACCTGTATAATGAATAATTTGACTCACCTGTAGTTGAATTCTTGTTAATTAGGATTTTGTTGTCTAAAATGTAGCTTTGCTCCTAAGACTTTCGTTGGGGTGTATTCATTTTTGCAACATGGTCTTAAATTAATTTGTTAGGAAAAATACTTTGTGTGCACAAATTAAAAAATCTTGTTTGCAATCAATTGCCCACATTTGTGAGAGTATTTTGTAGTATAGTGTCCCATAGAAAATGTTGATTCTGAAAGGAAAGTTAAGGTTTTCTGACAAATCTGTTGGGGGTGTACTCATTTATGCTGAGCACTGTAAATAGTCTCTGGTCAAGAGCAGCGCTAGCGCTTGTCCTGCTGGAGAAGTTCTATAGCCTCAGAATACCTGCCCCTCTGAGGTAGTTTTGCTGGAGATTGCCTATGTTCATAAAAGTCCCAACTGTGGCATAGCTGGAGGGCCTATCCCTAATCATCTTTGGAGCTAACTAAGCAGTCTTACCTAAAGATATGGCCTGGGGGACTCATTTAAGAGTACCTGGTGGAAGCGTGTAGTTGACCTGTGGCATTGTGAGTTTTAACCCTTCCCTCACTGAAGAGTGTCAGGTGGAAGCTAGGAAATGAGCAGTTGTCCTGAGACATATAGATGTCTAGAAGAAACTGGAAGATCTCCTGGAGATACATTGTGAGAATAGACCTGAGCTCATGGTCTAAGTGACTGTTTGCTAATTTGAAGGATAAGTGTCAGCAGTTTCTGAGACAACTCTTACAGGATCTCTGTTCTGGCCATTCCTTTTAACCATTGGTAGAAAGACTCTTCAGAGAAGCCTAGCCTAGTCAAGAGTGTCCTCCTGTTAGAAGTCAGCATTTTTGGAGTATCCCATACCACCCCAACCTCTCTCCTATTACATGTTTATTCTACAAACAATAAACCCTTTAAATACATCCCCTAGACTGATTACTAGAGTGAATGGACTGTTGCCTGTGAAAATGGTGGCCTCAGCACTGTTTTGTGAAGAACCATTTAGCGGCTTCTAATCCATTTAGTGCTAATCTTGTTTGTGGCAAAAAAAATATATATTATTTTTAAAGCTTAGTTTGTTGAGTATGTATTAGTTCAGCTAAAAACAAAATTTAACACCACTCCTTGAAAAAATTACCAGTTCTAAGGTTCCATTTAAACATTCCAACAAATTTGGTCTTGCTGAATGGAAAGGCTTATGTTGATATAATCATTTAGCCCAAACATTATAATCTAATTGACATAAACAGTAAATCATAAGTGTTGATTATAGCTAGGCTCAGTGGTGTGGTTGGTGGTCTTAAACGATATCTTAAAATAAGTCTTGACAGAATGTTGTCCTCAGGACTGAGACCCACTTTTCTACTGGTGCAAAACCTATCTGAAAAGAAAGACAAAACCCTTAATGACATTAGGTTAATAACAGTCATTGACCGTGAGATTGAGAGGAGGCTTGTTGTTTAATAATAATGTGCCTTCACTGATTGATAACTACCTCTGATGTATTTTCTCAACACATGCTATGGAGAACCATTTTTACTTTGTTGATCCACCATGCTACTTTGTTTTTCTTTTCTTGTACTTTTGTAAAAAGCAAAAAAAACGTTCCGTTAAATCCTATTTAGGATAAAAGCCTGCCTGAATCCATAAAGGGAAATTTGGAGTTGCAACCTCTGTTCTTGAAGAAACTGCCTGGGAACCCTCTGGTATTTCTTTGAAGGCAGTGTCAGCGTTACAAGAAAGCACCTTTAAGCAGGCTTAAACATTCTCTGGGCTGCCAGAAAAAGGTATAATCCTGTCCGATTCATTTTTCCTGGAAACAAATTACTGTCGGTTTTCTAAAAGTGAGGACAAACATGTATTCAAAAGTAAAGACTTATATTTTATACTTAGCAATGCTGTCATTTCACTGCCTATACTAATTTCTGATATTTCTATGAGCTCTCGGTATCAGTAATTCCTGACAACATACTTAGCTTGCTGATCACAGGAAGAAGTCCATTCCAGGTATGAAAGTATTCTGCTCTGAATCCATCCAATGAGAATAAGATGACTGGAGGCTGAGAAAACCTAGAAAAAAAAGACAGATATAATGAATTAATATATTTTTTGTTTCAAGAATAATCCAAACTTTATCTTCTGAATAGATAATATCTGGTATCCGTACATTGCATGATTCTTTGCAGAGTTAAAATTCTATGATTTATAATTTGTCCCACATAAAACCTAGTATAGCACTTGCCCTCTGGAAGATTTACCCCCCTTCATGTCCAGGCCATTTTTTTCTATAAAACACTGCACTACTTTAACTGAAAATTGAATGGTCATGCAACACTGTACACAAATGAAATTTATATTTTTTTCCACACAAATAGAGCTCTCTTTTCTTTATCCAAGTAAGAAAAAAAAAAGTATTCATACATTTAGCCCAAAATGTGTTCTACTACATGTCTTTGGTTAAACAAAAATACCAATAAGTGTATATTAATTGGTTTACGTGAAAATGATAGTGTGTACAAACAATGGTATACAGTAGATACTGGAATTTTTTCGTTTGTTAGTTTTATGTTAGTAATGACGTTGATCAGCGACTTATAGCGGGACTGTGATAGTGGCAATCTGACACTCAGGGGTTTATTTACTAAAGCTGGAGAGTCCAAAAACAGACTCCCTTCTGCATAGAAACAAATCAGCTTCTAACCTCAGCTTGTTCAATGAAGCTTTGGCAATGAAACCTGGAAGCTGATTGGTTTCTATGCAGAAGGGAGTCTGATTTTGGACTCTCCAGCTTTAGTAAATAAACCCCTCACTGTCACGGGGTGAGAACTAACTGCCAATTACATCTCCAGTGGCACTAATACAGTGATCAGTGCTAATAAAAAGCACGGTCACTGTACTAAGGACACTGGGCAGCAAGAGGTTAATATGTGGGGCGATCAAGGGTTAACTGTGTGCCATTTTATTAGCGGTACTGTGTACTGTATGCTGGTTTACTAGGGAAAGTGCTGGTTTGTATTCTCTGCTTTGCAGGGAGATAAAAATGGCACATCCCCACTGACAGAAGAGAGATCTGTGTTGTTTTCATACACAGATCTCTTTCCCTGCCGTTCCATCAATCGTCGGGTCCCGACCATGAATCTCTGCCGGGACCCAGTGATTGGTATGTAAGGGAGCCAATGACAGCATGGGTAGGTGTGCGTTTGTGTCCTCTACCCAGAAAAAAAAGCAGAATCATATATATATATATACAGTATATATGATATATATATATATATATATATATATATATATATATATATATATGATATAAAAAGTCTACACACCCCTGTTAAAATGTCAGGTTTCTGTGATGTAAAAGACGAGACAAAGATAAATCATTTCAAAACTTTTTCCATCTTTAATGTGACCTATAAACTGTACAACTCAGTTGAAATCTTTTAGTTGGAGGGAAGTAAAAATAAAAAACTAATTTAATATGGTTGCATAAGTGTGCACACCCTTAAACTAATACTTTGTTGAAGCACCTTTTGATTTTATTACAGCACTTAGTCATTTTGAGTATGAGTCTATCAGAATGGCACATTTTGACTTGGCAAGATTTGCCCATTTTACCTTGCAAAAACATTCCAAATCTGTCAGATTGTGAGGGCATCTCCTGTGCACAAGTGTGCACACCCTCCTATAACTGGGGATGTAGCTGTGTTCAGAATTCAGCAATCATATTCAAAATCATGTTAAATAGGAGTCAGTACACACCTGCCATCATTTAAAGTGCCTCTGATTAACCCCAAATAAAGTTCAGCTGTTCTAGTATGTCTTTCCTGAACTTTTCTTAGTCGCATCCTACAGAAAAAGCCATGGTCCACAGAGAGCTTCCAAAGCATCAAATGGATCTTATTGTTAAAAGGTATCAGTCAGGAGAAGGGTACAAAAGAACTCCTAAGGCATTAGATATACCAGGGAAGACAGTGAAGACAGTCAACATCAAGTGGAGAAAATATGGCACAACAGTGACATTACCAAGAACTGGACGTCCCTCCAAAATTGGTGAAAAGACGAGAAGAAAACTGGTCTGGGAGGCTGCCAAGAGGCCTACAGCAATATTAAAGGAGCTGCAGGAATATCTGGCAAGTACTGGCTGTGTGGTACATGTGAAAAGAATCTCCCGTATTTTTCATATGTCTGGTCTATGGGGTAGAGTGGCAAGATGGAAGCCTTTCTTACGAAGAAAAACATCTAAGCCTGGCTAAATTTTTGCAAAAACACATCTGAAGTCTCCCAAAATGGGAAAATAAGTTATGGTCCGATGAAACCAAGGTTGAACTTTTTGACCATAATTCCAAATGATATGTTTGGAGCAAAAACAACACTGCACATCACCAAAAGAACACCATACCCACAGTGAAGCATGGCGGTGGCAGTATCATGCTTTGGGGCTGTTTTTTCTTCAGCTGGAACTGGGGCCTTAGTCAAGGTAGAGAGAATTAGGAACAGTTCCAAATACCAGTCAATATTGGCACAAAATCTTCAGGCTTCTGCTAGAAAGCTGAACTTCATCTTTCAGCATGACAACGACCTAAAGCATACATCCAAATCAACAAAGGAATAACTTCACCAGAAGATGATTAAAGTTTTGGAATGGCCCTGCCAGAGCCCAGACCTAAATTCAATCGAAAATCTGTGGGGTGATCTGAAGAGGGCTGTGCACAGGAGATGCCCTTGCAGTCTGACAGATTTGGAGTGTTTTTGCAAGGAAGAGTGGGCAAATATTGCCAAGTCAAGATGTACCATGCTGATAGACTCATACCCAAAAAGACTGAGTGCTGTAATAAGATCAAAAGGTGGTTCAACAAAGTATTAGTTTAAGGGTGTGCACACTTATGCAACTATATTATTATTTTACTTTTTAAGTTTTACTTGCCTCCACCTGAAAGATTTCAGATGTACAGTTTATAGGTTAAACTAAAAGGTGGAAAAAGTTCTGAAATGATTAATCTTTGTCTCATTTTAACAGGGGTGTATAGACTGTTTATATCCAGAGTGTGTATATATATATATATATATATATATACACACACACACACATAAACACGTGATTCTGCGCAGTCAGTCTGCGCTGTAGCAGTAAAGCCTTGAACTGGTTTATGCAGAAGCTTTTCAAATGATTCATTCAGACACTGTAATGGTAGAGTTTACACTGATGACAGAAAAAGGCCTGCAGCATGGACATCACAATAACCAAAGTCATTGTAATTATCTTTACAATCACAAAAGAAAAATACATCAGTGAACTCACCCAGCTGGACAAATAGGTGTTTGCATGTCATCACATTTCTCGTCTACCCAGCTTTTGTTTCCTGAATAAAACAGACTATTTTAGCAATACTTGACTCCAGAGAAGCCACAGATTCCAAGAAAAGGAAAAGCAAAACATGTATTTCCTATTCATTTATTATAGCAATAGAACTGATAATTTACACAACTTTATGTACTGTATATTTGCATCAGTCCCTGCTCTTAAGTAGCTTACAATTCAAGGTCCCTATGTCATGTAGGCCAAAACAAACAGGAGCCAATTAACGCATGTCTTTGGAGTGGGAGGAAACCGGAGTACCGAGGAGAAATCTATACAAACACATGAAGAACATGCAATGTCCATGAAAGTTCTGAATTTAATTGTATTTAATTGCTGACTGAATACCAATAATGTAAACAACGTCTCTTTTAGTTGTAATTAAATGAAATATTAGACATAGTTATTGACATGCTTCTTTATAAGGGAAAATGACTATATGGAAAGTGCACAATCCAATAGAGGCCAACTTTTACTTTATTATGGTCAAATGGTGAAATAGTGAATCTTGTGAATTTGTTTAGAATTGTTAACTGCCCTTTGAAGATAAATTTTGTTTTATAAGACCTTGTCAAAGAACACATGTACTCAGTGTTCCTCAAGGAACATACATGTATAACCACAAGTACCTTATGTTGTATCAATTTTCTGCAAGTGTATTTCAGTGTTTCTGAATATTGAGCAATAATTTCCCACTGGCGCTGCTATCTTGCCACTGCTGTTGGGCTGGGAGGGGAGGATTGTGTTACCAGTTTTGTGATAGGAAATTGTCCAACAGAAACAAGAGGCAAGGCAGTGGGGTGAGGAGTTCCTAAGTTAAAATATCATCTGAAAACAAAGTGGTGGCATAACTTTCATTGTAGACCTCTAATTCTCGAAAAGATAGTTCCCTCTGATTTTACTGACTGCATGCTTTATCTAGGTCATTAACTAAGTACTGAAGTCAAATTATGAGCATGAAAGTCAGGAAACTAGCATATTCAGATGGAGGTCACATGGAGGTGCCATGGAGATGAAGGAATATTTCTCTCAGTACATATTTCAATTGAGGAAAAGTTGAAAGTGCATTGATCATTTTCAGAGAAACGTATAAGGATCAAGGCAGAAAAGTTATATAAAATACATGACAGGTAAACACAGCCTGAACTCTATTAGCCTATACCAGTGGTCGGCAAGCCGCGGCTCGCGAGCCACATGCGGCTCTTTACACGCTTTAATGCGGCTCTTGTGTGCCGGGCGCCCGCTCCCCTCCCTCCTCTCGGGCGGCAGGGACTCTGCAGTGTGATCCAAAAAAAAACAGCCAGGGCAGCGCGCTCAAATGCAATGATTGGCCAGTCTCGCTGCCACTCACATCCTGATAGTCCGCCCTGAAGTCTCACAGTCCGCCCTGAAGACCGGAACGGCACGGGAACATGGCGAGAGGAACGCGCGGAGCAAAGGTAAGTGAATTGACACAGGGGGGACTTGGCTTACTACTTGCTACTTACTTACTACTACTATATGAGGGATGAATTAATATGGGTGATGAATTACTATAGGGGGGATGAATTACTATATGGGGGATGAATTACTATAGGGGGGATGAATTACTATAGGGGGGATGAATTACTATAGGGGGGATGCATTACTATATGGGGGATGAATTACTATGAGGAATGAATTACTATGGGGGATGAATTACTATGGGGGATGAATTACTATATGGGGGATGAATTACTATGGGGGATGAATTACTATGGGGGATGAATCACTATATGGGGGATGAATTACTATGGGGGATGAATTACTATGGGGGATGAATTACTATATGGGGGATTAATTACTATATGGGGGATGAATTACTATGGGGGATGAATTACTATATGGGGGATGAATTACTATATGGGGGGATGAATTACTATGGGGGATGAATTACTATGGGGGATGAATTACTATATGGGGGATTAATTACTATATGGGGGATGAATTACTATGGGGGATGAATTACTATGGGGGATGAATTACTATAAAAACTTATTGAAACTAAAAACAGTGTACCATCCTATGTATTTTCAGTTTTAAAAATGTGGCTCTCAAAATAAATTTCAATTGTGGTTTTGGCGAGATTTGGCCAAAAGGTTGCCCACCACTGGCCTATACTAATAATAAATATATTTTACATTAGGAATAGCACCAAAAGAAAATACTCATCAACTGCATAGCTAGGCTGATAGAGTTCAAAGAATCCTTAGGACACCCCTACACAGCTCAGGTACATAAGGGACATCAACTTCAGACAGTTTCAGGATTTCTAGCTGATATGATGATAAAGCAAGCTGTGGTCTAATCCTCAAAAAGCTGTTAAAGCTGGAATGTATGCAGCCTTAAACCAGAGTTAAACTGCTATCTTGGAGAATCTATGTAGACATGCAGCCTCCATCCATAGAAGGATGGAAATAGTTACCCAGAAGTTAGCAATTGCTATTTAAATCATGAAGCCACCTGCAAAAAGTGATCACAGATATTTTGCGGTCATGCCATAATGCATGCACAGAAAAAACATCCACATCGGGTGTTTTCAATTAGTTGGTCTCTAGACTGACTCACCTCTACAAACAAAATCATAATTAACACAGCAGTCATTTGTGTCTTTACAGTCATCTGAGCAGGAGCACAGACTGCCATGCAACCTCTTCTCTCCACATCGTAACTTGTCACACGTCCAGATGTAAGCTGCACAACAAATCACACCAATTAAAGAATCAATGAGTACACTTCGTCTTTTCAGTGGGTAACTTCACTTTATATAGTGTTTCTTTTTCATTGCATAACTGAGGTAGATTTATAATTAGTTATAAAAGAATTAGTAGACAGTAAGAGAGAAGGTAGAAATCTTCCCTAGCAAAAAAGTAAAGGTAAAGCAACTAAAAGGTTCCTGCAACCTCCAAAACCCTCCTGTCAGGGCGGAATGCCAGACTGTTCCAACAAATAAAGCTTTGGCACTTCCTTCCTTGGGTCCTGTGCCAAATGGCTGCCCCACTACATACTGACCACAGGGGTGCTCGCTTTTGACCTAGTGTATATAAAGCATTCTCCGATTGGCTGCACCTACACTTTAAGGGGTTAGTTCTACTTTAACCACTTCAACCCCAGAAGGTTTTCCCCCCTTCCTGACCATGCCATTTTATGCTATTCAGCACTGCGCTATTCAACTGGTAATTGCGTGGTCCAGCAACACTGCACCCAAATGAAATGTATGTCCATGTTCTTTTTTTTTCACATAGAGCTTTCTTTTGGTGGTATCTGATCACCACTGAGTTTATTTTTTGTGATATAAAGGAAAAAAAAGACCAAATATTTTGAAAAAAAAAATATTTTCTACTTATTGTTATAAAAAATATCCAATAAACTCAAATTCAAGCATAAATTAAGGCCAAAATTTATGCTGCTACATGTCTTTGCAAACAAAAATCCAAATACTATATTAAATTGGTTTGTGTGAAAGTTATAGCATCTACAAAATATGGTATGTACAGTATATTGGAATTTAAGCAACTTTTACCTTCTGACTGCCTATCACATTTCTTGAGGTGCTAAAATACCAGGGCAGTACATAATCCCCCCAAATGACCCCTTTTTGGAAAGTAGACATCCCAAGGAACTTGCTGAGAGTCATGTTGAGTCCATGGAAGATTTTATTTTTTTTGCCACAAATGACAAAGTTGTTTTTACACAGAGTTGTCACTTAAATGATATATTGCCCACACATGCCATGGGTATAAGTGAAATAACACCCCAAAACACATTTTGCTACTTCTGCCAAGTATGGGGATACTTTTTGCAGCCTAGCCACATACAGGCCCCCGAAATCCAATGACCAACTTCAAGTTTCAAAGGGCATTTACTCATGCCACTTGTTGATTTTTTTTTATTATTTATTTTGCTTTTTTTTTACACTGTCCCTTTCATTTTTTTTATCACTTTTATTGTTGTCAACGGGGATGTAAATATCCCCCGTGATAGCAATAAGCAGTGACAGGTACTCTTTTCTGAGAAATCTGAGGTCTATTAGACTCTAGATCTCTCCTCCCTTAAAGCATCTGCTAACACTAAGATAGGTGCGACCAGATGCTTTCCCAATTTTAAAATACTGTAGCAATGTTCATATTTGTTGTAACCTAAATGATGAAACGCTCATTGCTACTGGTTTCTTAGACCATTGAGATGATTCAAGCCATTCCGGGGGGGGGGGGGGAGTCCCATCCCGCTGCTTGTAAAAGAGACGGTTAATTAGCCGCTAGCATTGCTTTTAAATGAAAGCCAACCACCAGCTGCAATACCAGGATGATGCCATCATTATGGTATTAACCAGTCAGTGATGTACCAGTACATTGCTGGTCCATGTTGGGCATATATGTAACAGCAGGGAACATAGGCATATGATGAATCGGATCTGTGGACAATATGGCCACAATTCATTCTTTTTTGTAATGCCCATGTTGAGGGTTAAGCCAAAAAAGTTCTAAATTTGGAAACCGTGATAGGTTCCATTGTCTGACAAGAGTTGAATTTGTGTGGACGGTGATGTATTGTTGTGCGTATAAATTGCTTTGGCCCATAATCAATTATCTTCCACAAAAAACAACGGAGGGGCTAAACGCTAGGGCTGATCCTGCTAACACTGCATTTTTGGGGGCACTATATTAAGGTGACACTAGTATAGTTCTGTTTGTGAGCAATATATTGTCCATACAAACACTATACTAGAATTGGGGATGATCAGCGACCTATAGCATGAGTGTGACAGTGTGCGGGCAATCTTGCTGAGCCTAGCTGGGAGGGTTGCTAACTGACCCTGACACTATCTGATGTCAGTAGTGGCACTAATACAGTGATCAGTAAATAAATCTCTATACTGACACTGTACTAATGGTACTGGCTGGGTGACAGGGTGATCAAAGGGTTAAGAGGGGCAATCAAAGGGTTAAATATGCTATACTAACGTGTGTAAAATGTAGTGCTTGTTTAGTGCTCTGCTGTTTTTAAGAAGTTCAAGTTCTCCAGCAGAATGTATCTGTTTACATGGATGAGGCATTCCATTTACCACTGGAAGGGATGATTAAAATGATCTGCTTTTATTTATCCATGTAAAATGTTTATCCTAAAAGGAGCAAAAAACTGTTTTCTGTAACTGACTACAACGTGTGAGCTGGAGTTTGGCTTCAATTTATTGTTGCACTCAAATCTGCCAATGCAGTAGGTGTGTTACTGGCCAGATCACCAGGTGAAGAAAGAAAGAGAAAAAAGGAAAAATGATGCACCACATCTAATGATTGGCAAGGTGCAATATAATACTTTATTGTTTTGGCGTTTAATACTGCTTTAAAGAGCAATTCCAGGCAAGTGAAAGCATTTAGTGAGCTATTGCTAACCAGTAAAGAAAGCAACTTAGCCAGTTTTCTTAGTTTACCTAAATCTTGGGGCTTGTTCACACTTGACTAAATTTCTAACTTTTACCAAATGCTCCTATAGCTTTAGTACAGGCGTTCGACAGGCTTTAATGGGCTTTAGTATGGGCGTTAGACTGGCTTTATTGGGCTTTATTATGGGCGTTAGACTGGCTTTATTGGGCTTTAGTATGGGCGTTAGACTGGCTTTAATGGGCTTTAGTATGGGCGTTAGACTGGCTTTATTGCGCTTTAGTACAGGCGTTCGACAGGCTGTAATGGGCTTTAGTATTTGCGTTAGACTGGCTTTATTGGGCTTTAGTACGGGCATTAGACTGGCTTTATTGGGCTTTAGTACGGGCGTTAGACTGGCTTTATTGGGCTTTAGTATTTGCGTTAGACTGGCTTTATTGGGCTTTAGTACGGGCATTAGACTGGCTTTATTGGGCTTTAGTATGGGCGTTAGACTGGCTTTATTGGGCTTTAGTATGGGCGTTAGACTGGCTTTATTGGGCTTTAGTATGGGCGTTAGACTGGCTTTATTGGGCTTTAGTATGGGCTTTCGACTGGCTTTAATGGGCTTTAGTATGGGCGTTAGACTGGCTTTATTGGGCTTTAGTATGGGCGTTAGACTGGCTTTATTGTATGGCTTTAGTATGGGCGTTAGACTGGCTTTATTGGGCTTTAGTATGGGCGCTAGACTGGCTTTAATGGGCTTTAGTATGGGCGTTAGACTGGCTTTATTGGGCTTTAGTATGGGCGTTAGACTTGGCTTTATTGGGCTTTAGACTGGCTTTATGGGCTTTAGTATGGGCGTTAGACTGGCTTAAATGTATGGGCTTTATTTTATTGGCTTTATGGGCGTTAGACTGGCTTTATTGGGCTTTAGTATGGGCGTTAGACTGGCTTTAATGGGCTTTAGTATGGGTGTTAGACTGGCTTTTTGCAAGTGTTAAAAACGCTCCCCAAACACCCTATGTGCAGTTTTGAAGTGTTTTTTAAGCATTGACAAGCGTTAAGCCACACCACACAAACTATGTAAACTGTGATGTTATTAACGCTCCACAACCGCCCCGCAAATGCCCCGCAAACACCTGCCAGGGCGTTTGAGAAGCATCACCATAGAGCTGAATAGGAGGCATTAAAAGGCTTCAAACTCTTCCTGACTCGAAACGAGGCTTCAATTTTGAAACAATGTGACACTAACGCTTCATGTTTTGATAATGTGAACAGCACCTTGTGCTGCCCATAGTATTATTTGCATAGGCATTTTAGGAGCATTAAAAATGCCTCTCAAACACCTGATTTCAATGCTAGTGTTAACCTAGGCCTAACTTCTGTGTAAGAAAATTAAGTACATGTGGCATGATCAAGGGTTGCAGGAATGTCTTGTCATGTCTCTCTGCCTCCTGCATCACCAATCACATTCACATTTTTTTCACCTTTGTTTTTTATACATCAGCCTTTTTTGTGTGTGAGGCAGCAACAAGGTAGGTTACAGAATCGCCATCAGATGTGTCCCAGCAGGATTACTGGATTACAAATAAAAGAATAGGATGCAGCATGGAAATGTCTAAATGAAAAACACAAACTGTTCAGCAGGTTTGTATCAGCTTCTTTACCTGGTTTTATGCATACATCTTCATAATCTATACAGCAGTTTCCAAGCTCAACACAGGCACTATCACATCGACAGCTCCCAAATTTTCGCTCAAAGCACCTATTTTTGCAGCTGTTTACTGAAAAATAGAATAGAACCAGAAAAATAAACAGAAAAAAGTCCAATATGCAGTACCTTGAGAATTACAAAGAGCATCAGAGCAATGCTTTAATGAGTTTGTAACTTTCTTAAGCATTTCAGTGTTTGCTTTCACGTATTAGAGCACCTGCAAACCTGTTTCATTGTTCTGTCTTCTACTACAGTTATGTGTGAGAAGATGATTAGAGGTTAGATTAAATAAATTCCATGGGTGGACTATTATCTTCCAGCTTCATGAAACCTTACTATCCCCCTCAGATCTTAATTCTAGGAGTTCAGTTCCTTATAATCTGTGGTGTGATGAAAAGATAAGAGATAAGTGAATTGCGCACTCACCAGAGGTTATACACATGGTCAGTTTTTTGCTTTATTCTTTCCTTGTATGTTTTGCACCTTTGTTGGAATAAAATTACCCTATTGAATGCAGTATCACGCTATGTGGCATTATTCTTGGGCTATCTGCGAGTCTCACCATTCGCAGAAGCCAGTTTAGAAGTGTCCTGAGACCGTGATACCATTGGAGGGGTCCTTAAAGGCACAGGCGCAGGATCCTGACCATACCTGGAAGTGATTGTCCTGGCTGACCTGATCAGATGATTATGATCTCAAATGTGTTTTGATAGCGCACTTCTGGTGAGTGCGCAATTCACTTATGTCTTATCTTTTCATCACACCACCGATTATAAGGAACCGAACTCCTAGAATTAAGATCTGATAGGACTTACAAGTCTACATTTTGGATTTATTCTTACTGACTTATCTTCTAACCACTTACCTGTGGTAGAATACCATCGTTTGCACCTAATAATATTGTACTTATATTGTAATATTGCTTGACTCATGATCCTTTACACATTCATATTACAGCGCTGCACTATTTTCTGCATATTATCCATTTTGCGAGGTTTTTATGGTACCTTTAGGTGTTCTAGCTGCTGTCATTTTATAATAGCGCTCGCATATCCCTATTTTGATTACTTACTTTGCCCCTGCTAACACCCTGCTCATGTCCTCGAAGCTTCCCTGATGGGTCTCCTTACCCCCCAGACTCTCTCTTATTTCCCTCCCAACTTTTCTTTCTGCCTCCCTATCTATTTCCTCTCCCTTTCTGTTCACTGCAGCTTTTTTCTCTTCTAGCTCCTTCTATTGGTTACCCGCCCCTAAGGATGCTTACAGAGTTCCCACCAGCCAGGTGTTCCATCTCGCCAACTGGAGACCCCATATATAGCAAAATGCCCTTCTCTTCCCTTCTTGTATTGCCTGACTTGCTCACTGTTTCCTCCAACGCAGTCATTTAACTCATGGACCTTATGCCTGAGGCCACATAAGGTTCCACACTAAGTTTGAGCATCTTTATATTTTTATGTCTCTGTTGGGATTTCATGTTTTTATGCTAAGTTGAAACATGTTGTGGTTATGAAGTATATAGCTTGGCCTTTAAGCTACCACTTAGCATCCCCAGGGCTGTGTCCCTGCTGTTCTCATGCGTCATTATGCATCCTCATTTATTTTTCCTGTACTGATTCTACTCCTGTATTCCCTGTATTTGCAATTTTTCAATAAAATATTTGAACAAGAAATTTGATAAATTAACAAAGATGCATATAAAGCTAACCATAAACTGTACAATCTTATTTATAGTATGTCTAAAAGTTGTTGGCAGATCATAAGTTGCTGCCTAATTGGCTTTTAAATACTGATTTCCATATTTCTCATCTTGATAGAGGGTAGAAGACTCCTCGTTTATGCACAAAGCAGTGTATGGATAATGTATTTAAAATCATCGCCTATGTACTGACTTCTGAAACACAAATTATATTAGTTAAAGCGAAACTTCACTGCATCTGAGCACCACAAACTAAAAACGCTATTTAATTCATTTTTAAATTACAAAGCAAACTCACCCCATCTATTCATGTCGCCGTGCTTTATTTTCCTGAGAAATCATGTTGAAAAACACTCCCTAGCAGTGTTGGATTTAGATTTTGGGGGCACTTAAAAGTTCAGGGGGGCTCTCAACAGAGAAATTAAATATATATGACAAATAAAAAAGTGAACTGAAATGAATGATAAACCGCATTTGTTCTGAAAAAAAAATGTTAGGTTCCGAAGAAGACACTTGTCTAATTTTTTTTTCTCAATTTTATTGACTGTAAGAATACACATTGCACAGGTAATTGGAACTGGCAAGTCATACATCACAATACAATATTTACAAAAAATATTTCTTCCTTCATTTAGCATCTGCAAAATTTTAACTAACTCAACCTGTATCATATTTAGGACGCTGCTCTTGACAGCCAGTAGGCACAGAGCACTTAAGCAGCCCATAGATAACATGATTTTCTTTCCACCAAGGGTGGAAGGGAAGAAAATTGCTCGATATCCCTATCAACACAGTCAGTGTTTGATGGATGAATACCTCCTGCAGCGCTATTATGTTCTGCCAGTGAGGAGCCTTTCAGGCCAGAAGAACACAGCCATCACTGCTAGTGGCTATAGCCGCAGGCAATAACTGAATATAAAAAACCTGACAGGCTGTTTGTGCTGGAGTTGATCGATTATGCTTCGGTGCAACCAGCCTGCCCATAGATGGATTGAATCTCGACCAAGCCAAGATCAATTCATCTATGGCCGGCTTTATACTTTCATGGGTCATCATGGTTCTCAGATGATTCTTTATCAGTGCCAATTTGCTGAACGACCGTTCTCTGAAACAACTAGTCACCATCATGTTCAAATATATAAGAGCTACATCAACACCTGGAAAGGTATCAGCAAGCTCTTCATCATGTAATAAAACTGCCTGTTGAGATGGAGTGAGACATGACAGGAGCTTGGCAAAGGCTGAAAGCTAGACAATTTCCTCACACACTACTGAAGTCTTCAGGGAAAGCACTAATAAGTTTCTTAGCCTCAGTTTTTATTTCTGCATCAGGAAGACTACATAAGTTGACTATTACTTTGAACCTCTCATACACTAAATGCTAAGCTACCCTGCGCTCTTGTAAGGCATAAGACAACGGATTTAAAATAACATTGAAAGTTTCACTTCTTCATTCTTTCTGTATTTTTCTCTGAGAGAAAAAAAGTTTCCTCTGAGACTGATATTGGGTTTGTATCATATCGCTTGGTAGTTGATTTGTAGTTTACATTGCCACAAGTACCTGGCATCTGGTTCCAGCTCTTTATACCTATCTGCCAGAAGCTCTTATCCCTTTATTTACCTCTGAAGACAGGCTTAACCGTTCCGTATCATGACACTCACACACACCTTGTTATTTTTTTTTTAAATAAAACTAATTTTATAATTATTACTTTTTTTATAAAGAAAGTCTGGGATCGGAGCCCCCCGCCCTGGCAGGAGGGCCCAGAGCAATTGTCCTTTTTGCCCCCTTATACATCCGACACTACGCCCTAGCAATTCTGGCCGTGGCCATCTTGAGTAAGGGCAGAATATTCATGTAGCATTTGCTTCCTGGAATCCACCTGCCCTTAACCCAGGCATGCATGCAGGAGGGTGTGTTTAGCTAAGAAACCCCCCCTCTTCGCAAAGACTCCTGGGATGTATGACATTATTTGCCTATGCATGAAAACTAGGAAGTAACTGAAGAAATGTAAAAAAAATAGTTTAAAACAAGTAAACATGGTATACTGTACATTCCTATCTATTTACCAATGCTAGCAGCACAAGGATTAAAAATAGCCAGTGTTGACTGGGAGGGTGAAGTTCAGCTTTAAGTTGTGGAAAAACCCAGGAAAAGCACCTCCACACCTGCTTCCTCAGATAAAGGATATCCTGTTCCAGATCACTGGTATATAGATTGAAAGAAAATTACAAAACCACTAGTAATTTAATCATCTTCATCATTTATCGTTTCCAGGAAAATTATTCATAAAAAACTATTGATAGACCCCTGTTATCACTTTGCCTGGAGATGACTTTCTTTCTCAAGTGATGACCTTGATCTCAGACTACTTCTGGAAGACATTATGTTCCCAATTAATGAGAAAGCTTATTTTAATACCTTCCCTGGAACAGCTAGGCTTCAATCCAAATATGCATCCCAGGATGGCTGTTAAGATGACGACACAGATTACCTAAAAGAAACAATGGAAAATCCACAATCACAAAACAAATATTTGAAATTCTATTGTGTTTCTTATATTAATATAAAGCAAGGTTTTAAAGTCTGTCCCACACACCTCACCTCTGGCTTGATTCAATAAAGAGTTATTATAGCAACCAAGCAAAACTTAATCTGCTGCAGACCAGTACAGATGGAGATTCAATGGTTACTAATATTAGGAATTAGCTCTAAAAGGAAACCTTCACTGAGAGAACTATATAGGGTGCAGTAAACTTTCTGCTGAAAATGTTAGTTCCTTGCTCTCATGTTGGTACAAAGATAACTAAAGTGGTGACTTTTATTCTGCTTACTGCTGATTTATTTACACCTAAATCTCTCTTTAAGTGCATCAAAAATCTGACCAAAACTAAATCTGTTGAAAAAGGAGGGGCAGGAAGGTCAGAGGGGAAAGATACAAATGAAGGGGGGGGGGGAAACATAGAGCTAAATAAGGCCTGTAGCTGTGGAGGGTAGAGAGAAAGCAATAAAGTAAAAAGGTTCACATAGTTGGAGAGAGCTATATTCCAGATTGGTGCAGAAATTTGACGATAGAGAGAGGCTGTTAGGCTGTCAGGGATCCCGGCCGCTCGGCAGTGCGCGCATGCACAGATCGCTGATACGCTCTAGCCGGCGAGCACTGAGACATAGGCGGTGGCCGTGCATGCGCAGTCACAATCGCAGACGCGCGCCTGTCACCAATGAGAGCACAGGGCGCCCTATTTAAACGAGCCCTGTGCATCTCCAAATCGCCTTATGGTCTTGTTCCCTGTTCCTGTGTTCCTGATCGTCCTGTACTCTTGATTGCCTTGTTGCCGACCCTGCCTGATCCTGATACTGCTTGTCCTCTCCTGCTC